GTCTTAATTTGTACTATATTTAAGGGTGAGTTTCACTAATCATTTATAATGATTTCAAAAATAATTTACAGATTTATTTTTATTTACTCGGATATTAGGTTTATTTTATTTTTATTTTTATTTTTTTGTTAACTGAAGTGTCCAAACTAACTTATGCGCACCACTTTATAAGTTCAATATGTTCGGTAAGTTACAAATATGGTAAATAACTATTCTTCGAGACCCGAACACAAAATCTCTGGATAATCTACCCAAATGACTAAGGTATTGTCATCCAACCATAAGGCTAATAGTTAGGTATTTAGTGGCTTTGAAGGTTGGTTGAGACTTGAGAAGGTACTTGCTACAACTATTATAGTCCCGTCCCTCTTTCAAGTTGGATATTAATATAATATCATTTTAGGTATACATTTTTTAAATTTAAAAACATTATATAAATTACAAAACTCTACAATGTCAGAGCTAGTTTTAACTATGCATAAGAATATTAAAGTAGTTTTCTATAAAAAAAAATGCATATATTGATGTAATTAAAAATGGAATTAAAAAAATAAAAAACGTAGCCAATACGATTTGATAGTAAAGTTTTATTTAATAAAAAAATCAAACTACAATAAAATGATTGGCTTGGACCGAACCACAATTTATAATGGGAAGATGACAATATACTAAAATATTTTATCTCAGTTATCAAGTACGTGAAAGTTATTCATACAAAAAAAATCAAACTACATTTATAATTGAGGGTGATTGGTTGGGGGTTACAAGAAATTACTAAGATTATATCATCTTATATTACTTGATTACCATATTTGATTATCAAATAATATAAGATTCTGGCAATCTTTCAATATCAATAGTAGTTACTGTAGATAATATTAGAGAAATCTGATAACCTTTATTTTCTTAGGTATTGTAAGATTACCAAGGTAATCTATTTTTGTTACAATTCTATCCCTTATTAATAAAATTTTAGGACAATAATACTCTTATTTTTCAATTAATTTACATTAATCTACCTTTTATTATTTCACCCCAATTAATTAACTTTTTGGACAAAATTACTCTTGAATTCAAAACAAATTACAGCCCACCCAAGCCACCAACTGCCAACCAAACCACCACCGGAAGTCACCATGAGTAGCCGAGAGACATCGAGAGGCTTTGATATGGCCGTTTCTTACCATATTGATGGTCGAAAATGGTCATATTGGAGTAGATCTGGCCTTTAACGGTCACATCCATGGCCTTTATCAGTCATATATTTTGGCCGGAATACTCCGATATGGCCATTTTCAACCATCAATGTGCCTAGAAACGGTCATATCGAAGCCTCCTAGTGACAGTGAGCTACTCACGATGACTCTAGACGACTTTCGAAAACTTCCGGCAGCAGATGGCCATGGTGGGCAGTGGCTTGGGGTGGTGGGGGTGATTTTGTTATAAATTAAAATTTTATATAAGCATGGGTGTTTTAGCTAAATCTGAAATGTTGGGGGTTAAAAAGACTATTAAAAAATTAATAATAAAAATAATATTATATTAATATTTAAAAAGAAGGCAGTTTAGTAATTTAAATAACATACTCATCAATTTATTCCTCCCAACCAAACATATTAATATAACATACCCACTAAGTAACCAAACATATTTTCTTAAAGATTCCCAATAATCTTCAACGTAATATAATTTTCTAGTAATCCAACCTTCCTTGAATCAGACACACCCTTTAAGTTATTCAATATATTGCGATGCGGTATCCTGATATCACAGTTGGGCGTTTATCAACTACTCAAAAGATTAATTAGGCTGTGTTTGTTTCATTTTTCCCAATCCAATCCTACCTAAAATACATATTTGTTTCAATATTCTTAAAATCTAACCATATTATATTAAACTCAAATATTTATATTTTTTTAACCCCCTAGAATTATTAATTTAACTAAACACCCCCAATAATAAAAGTTTATAAATTGATAAAAACACCGCTACCCACCCATATATTCCTGGCAACCAACCACCACCACTGAAAGATGGCTAGAATGGCACACGACCGACTAGATGTGGTGGTCATATGCACGATTTGGCATTTTTCGACCAGATCCATAATGGTTCTGGCAAGAAAAGGCTAGATCTAGCTAGATCTGGTCGCCAACAACCAAATCTGGTCATTAACAACAGCCAATATATGATCGTCAATCATGGTCGTCATTGACGACCAGATGTGGCCATTTGGCCGTCAACGGCCATATCTTTGGCCGTGGATTTAGCCGGAAAAGGCAAATCGGTGCATGACCAGCTTGTGCGCCATTCTAGCGACTTTTGGCCACCCTTTGGCAGTGGTGGCCAAATTTGGTCATTAACAACAGCCAAGATATGACCGTCAATCATGGTCGTCATTGACAACCAGATGTGGCCATTTGGCCGTCAACGACCAGATCTTTGGTTGTAGATTTGACTTTTTTCGGCCATACCCATGGTGGATTTGGCCGAAAAAGGTAGATCGGTGCATGACCAGCTTGTGCGCCATTCCAATGACTTTTGGCCACCCTTTGGTAGTGGTGATCGACATTTAATAGGTTGTTTTTGTTATTTTTTAATGTTTTATTGTAATGGGTGTTTAGTTAAATTAATAAATGTAGGGGATTAAAAAATAATCTAAATATTTTTAGAAAATATTTTCCAAAAATTTACCAAACACATTTTCAAATTCAAATCTTATTCCCGTAATAACAACATAATTTAACTTTTTCAAAAATACTACTCTAAATACTCCTAAGTTTTTTTAGTATTTAGGCTTCAGTCGGCCAGTTTGGACTTTTGGCTCAAGTTTGGTGAAATTAAAAGGGTTTTTTTTTTCGAAATGCTGTTTGTTATTTTATTTCATAGAAGGTTGGTGTCAAATCCCAAGCTTTGCCGGAATATTTAAAAAAAAAAAAAATTAATTAAGGTTAAAATTGTCGAAACAAATTTCTACCATTAGAAAGAATATTTAAAAATAAAATAAAGGTATAAAGAAGACACTTAAAATGTAAATGTAAATATCACTTTTCTAGATGGAAATATTGTAGCCCCGTAAAATTAATCTATACCCCGCTTGTTAAATACGCTTTTACTGTATTTAAAAAAAAATAATTGGTCTCGGTCGCTTAAGCGATGAAGGCTTATATACACCTAATCGCTTAAGCGATAACTACATCGCTTAAGCGATTCATTTTTTTTTTTTTTTTTATATATTATTTTTTTAAACCCCATTTAATACCCAAGACAACCCTAGTTAACCTTTTATCCAAATTTCATGCATAATCAGGATTTTCGTTTACATGATTTTCCCTAATTTCATAGTTAGGTTTTTTGTTTATACCATTTTTTCCCAATTTTAAAATTTGAAATCTACTTTTTCTTCTTTAGATTCAAATTTACCTTGTTGTGTGGTTATTTTCTTCGTAGCTTCAATCAAATAATATCATCAAACAAATAAATAGTTGAAGTAAAAAATAAAATGTTTAAAAGATTTAGACGATTTTGAGGTAGGGTTTGTATAAAAAAAAGAAAAATCATTTAAAAGTAAATAGAGTAGGAGTGTATTTATAAATTATTATGTTATTTATAATAATTTTAATTAAGGTTAAAATTATCAAAACAAAAAGGAAAATCATTTAAAAGTAAGAGATAATGATTACATGAGGACTAAAAATTACTTCCTTTTATCCACTATTCTTATGATCAGACGACAATACTTTAACCTTTTAGGTTTATTACCTAGAAGTTTTACGTTTGAGTCCCACAAAGTAATCACTTACCATATTTGTGACTTACCTAACCCTCGAAAGTGATCATCTATCACATTTGTGACTTACTTAACTCTCGAGAATTAAAGAGATTAGCTTAAAGTGCGTGTAAGCTAGTCCAGACACTTCCAACAGCCCAATTGTCAAAAAAAAAAAAAAAAAAAAAAATTACTTCCTTCTTTCTTATGGTATGATACAAGAAGTCCAATGAGAAATATATTCTGAGAACAGCAATATCCAGTCTGCTAATGAAATGGATTGGGCCTTTCGCTAACAAAAAATACATCCACATTTGCACGCCCCTTCCTTCCATGGACTTTCTCAAACACGTGAAATATAACATTTCCTCTTCTTCTGCTTCACCAATTCCAAAACTAAACCAACCAAACTCCAATTTTCCCTTCTAAGTACAATTTATTTTATTTCCTTCTTATAATTAAGGCCTGTTTATTTCAATATTATATCTCCATCCTATTTTATTATTATATCCTAAAAACAAAAAAATGCAGACTTCATTTGGTTCTTTATTTAATGATTTATAGAATATTATTTTGAAAAAAAAAAAGTAAAATTAAATTATCTTTACAAGAAAAATAATTATTAATATTTCGTGAGATGAATAAAGTAGAATAAAATTTTGAGAATATTGAACGTATAAATCATTAAATAATGAATTAGTGCTAAAATCCTTTTTTTGTTTTCTCCCTTCTATTTGATTTGTTCAACTCAATTGATTGTGACTCCCAACTTTATAAATTAGTGCTAAAATTCAACCACCCAATTTTATATTTATTAATATTTCATTAAAGCATATTATTATCTCTATTATATTCTTCTATTTATGCTATGTGCTTTTGTAAAGTGGAGAATTATGCTTACAAATATTTTATTACGAGTTATATTTCATTAATCTCCTTTATGATTCATTGCTTTAAAACAATCCAATGAACTTGAAATATTAAAATTAAAACGGACCATAAAATATAATTTTAAACCAAAGTTTATTTTAAAAACGTGCAGGAAATTAAAATAATTTTAAAGTAAAATTAAGTAGAGAATTAGCAAGCACAGGGAGAGAGAGAGAGAGAGGCACAAGTACCAAACTGAGCAGTACTCACCGCCATGCAAGCTCACCATATTTTCTAATGTTCCTCTCTCTCTCTCTCTCTTTTTATTATTTGATATTTCATCATCACAATTTCTTATAAATATCAAAATTCATTCGCTTTCACCTCTTTACTCTATTATATACCCTTCCCCGCCCCTCACTCTCTAGGGTTTCTCTCTATTCTCTTCTCTTTCTCTCTTTTGCACAAAATTCTCACTTCAATCCCATCATTTCTTCAATCCACCATTCGTAATTCCCTGATCCTTCACTCAATTTCGCCGATTTCTAGACTTCTTTTTTGGTCTGTCTGAATCTAGGGTTTTGATCTGGTGCGGTGAGATGCAGGTGGGAATCGGATCGGGAACCGTCTGATCGCTTCGCTCGTGGTTTCGAGCGAGCGAAGCCGTTCCGATTTTGGAGTGGTTTTTGTATGGAAACTCGGAGCCGGAAGCGGGCGGAGGCCTCCTCAACTGCCCCTTCGATTTCGTCATCTTCTTCTGGGCCTACCACTCGTTCTCACGCCAATAAACGACCTCGTGTAGCTCCCACTACCTCGACGACGACGACAACAACAACCGCCCCTGCCTCATCGTCTTCTGCCACCACGCGCTCACGTCACTCACGCGCTCTCCCCATGGACCCCACCTCTGAATCCTCCGGTTCTCGCCACACTCGCCGCGCCAAAATCTCCTCATCCAACGCCGACAATTCCGCCGACAAAGGTAAAGAAAAAGAACACAATAATAATAACAGCAATAACAATAATAACAATTCGGATTTGGCCAACACGGGTCGGGCACTTGGTTTGAATATGGATACGGGTATGGACGACGATGACAATGACAGCGAGGGTGGAGTTGGAATTTTGCATCAAAATCTGACCTCAGCTAGCAGTGCCTTGCAAGGACTGTTGAGGAAGCTCGGAGCTGGATTGGATGATCTTTTGCCGTCATCAGCCATGGGGTCGGCGTCGTCATCCCATCAGAGCGGTAGATTGAAGAAGATTTTATCGGGGCTGAGGGCGGACGGCGAGGAGGGGAAGCAAGTGGAAGCGTTAACGCAACTTTGCGAGATGTTGTCTATTGGAACGGAGGAGAGTTTGAGTACTTTCTCAGTGGATTCATTTGTGCCGGTGCTGGTTGGGTTGCTGAATCATGAGAGTAATCCTGATATTATGTTGCTTGCGGCTAGGGCTCTTACACATTTGTGTGATGTATTGCCATCTTCTTGTGCCGCTGTCGTGCATTATGGGGCGGTTACGTGTTTCGTAGCTCGGTTGCTAACAATTGAGTACATGGACTTGGCTGAACAGGTTAGTTTATTATATTGTTATATTGCCGGCCTAGATAATGGACTGCTTTTGTTGGTTTAGTTATCCCTATTGCTATACATTTTCATGTAATTCAATGAGTAGAAAATAAGCGAATTTTTGGAATTCTAACAAATGTTGACTATGCAACGGTGTTGTTTTGCTTGTAGCATGTGGAGTTGTGTTATTATTGTAGTTGGGATTCTTGTATTTTCTTCCACATTGAAGTTTTTAAGCATTTGTTTGATTATTGGGTTTTGATATTTATTGATGGTGGTTGTTGTATATGTAGTCTCTGCAAGCTTTAAAGAAGATATCGCAGGAGCACCCAACTGCCTGTTTGAGAGCAGGTGCTCTAATGGCGGTTCTTTCGTACCTGGATTTCTTCTCCACAGGAGTTCAGGTAACTAATTTAATTTGATTTTGATCTTTAAATTGTTGATGGAGAAGGATTCTATTCTGCTCTCCTCGATACCTACAGTTGAGTTTTTTTTTTAATTTAATGTTATGTTTCAGAGGGTAGCATTGTCCACTGCTGCAAATATGTGCAAGAAACTCCCTTCTGATGCTGCTGACTTTGTGATGGAAGCTGTTCCCCTGTTGACAAACCTTCTTCAGTACCATGATTCAAAGGTAAAGCCATCGGTTTATGGTTTCATTAGAGCAGCATATTCCCATTCAATTCAGTTACCTTATATTCATCATTTCTGATTTGTTGTGTTTTTAGGTGTTGGAACATGCTTCTGTTTGTTTAACTCGAATTGCTGAAGCATTCGCGTCATCTCCGGACAAGTTAGATGAACTATGTAATCATGGACTGGTTACACAAGCTGCCTCTCTCATTTCAACCAGTAATTCTGGAGGTGGGCAGGCATCTCTTAGCACACCGACCTATACGGTAAATTTGAATTCTGCTGTCATATCTTGATTCTTTTTAATATATTGAAGTAGTGATTCTAATTTTTAGGAATGCAGGGTTTAATCCGATTGCTGTCCACTTGTGCTAGTGGATCGCCTCTTTGTGCCAAAACTTTGCTCCTCCTTGGGATCAGTGGAATTCTGAAAGATATACTATCAGGGTCTGGTGTTTCTGCTAATACATCTGTTCCACCCGCTTTGAGTAGACCATCAGATCAGGTAGTTACTGTTTCTTTGACCATTTCTGGTCTATGTGAACAATGTAGCACGTTTTTTCTGTCTTGGTAGATGCAACTATTTCTAGTTTCTGGGTTTTTAGTTTGTTCTGAATATATTCCATGTGATTCTCCAGAAAGTTGAAAGAAGTTATAGTAAAATGTTATTTTCTGCATGTGTATTTGATTTATATGGTCCAAATATTTTTTCCTGCTAGTTTATTGTTAATTTTTCAACATGTTTGGTTCCTAGGAAACCCAAATTACGGACTTCTTCTATATTTTACTTAACTACAAGTATGTAGCTGCATGATATATAACTTGTGGATCTCACGGGAGCAAGGTCTCATTTACTATGTAATTCTGTGAGCCTTGGTTGAGATTCTTTTTCTTGGTACTTATGAAAAATATCAGTTGATTTCTTGTTTAATCGGGCTGTAAATAGATAACTAGGTTTGAATTTGTTTTGTGGCTTGAAAATAAGAAATGGATTTTCTTGTTTATAGTTTTCAAGATGAGTAATAAATTCATCTTTAAAACACAATTAGGTTATGGTTTTCATGGTAACTGGTGTTTAATATAGTCAAGAATTTGAAGAGCATTACTATTATTTTCAATATGTGCAATAGCATGCACTAAAATGTTCAGGGGATGCAACCCTCATACACAGGATGTCCGTAGAAAAAAAAAATGCTCCCACTTTTCTAACTCTTTTATATACGTAAAAAGAGGAAAGGAGGGAAGAAGCATTACATTCAGAGATCACACTGGTATAGATCTCTAAAACCTGATCTATATGATGTTCAGGTTTTACTTCACTCCAAAAGCCTTTGCTTTCTTTGAAAGACACTCAAACATGTGCAGTGGCCATGCTTTTCAATTTTATTCCTTTGCCACCAAACCCTCATATGCATTATTGGGGGCACCTGAGAGACCTTATAGTAAATCCCCATGGCATGCTTTTCTTTTCACTTGCACATTTAATAAGTTGAACTTCTATTTTACTGTGTAGATTTTCGAGATAGTCAACCTGGCAAATGAGCTCCTCCCCCCGTTGCCACCAGGAACTATTACCCTCCCAGCCAGCTCCAATATATTTATGAAAGGTCCTGTGGTGAGGAAGTCTCCCGCCAGTAGTTCTGGGAAACAGGATGATACAAATGTAAGTGCTCCTGAGGTTTCTGCTCGAGAGAAATTACTAAATGATCAGCCTGAACTTCTGCAGCAGTTCGGAATGGATCTTCTTCCTGTTCTAATACAGGTAGTTTTTCTGTGGGAATGGCTTTATATGTCTTTTACTTGTTTTAGTTTGTATATTTTTCACCCGTGTTTACATGTTGAGCAGATCTATGGTTCCAGTGTTAACAGTCCGGTTCGCCACAAATGTCTTTCTGTTATTGGGAAATTGATGTTCTTCAGCAGTGCGGAGATGATTCAGTCTCTGTTAAGTGTGACAAACGTATCAAGGTATGCACTGTTCATTTCAATACAATTGGTTGAGACGCTCACTTGAGGAGGACTCTTATCTATTTAATTGTTTGAACCTATAGCTTTTTAGCTGGTGTTTTGGCATGGAAAGATCCACATGTCTTGGTTCCTGCCCTCCAAATTGCTGAGATTCTTATGGAAAAGCTTCCTGGTACATTCTCCAAGATGTTTGTCAGAGAAGGTGTGGTTCATGCTGTAGATCAACTTATTTTAGTTGGTAATCCAAATACTGTTCCTGCCCAAGCATCTCCTGGTGATAAGGACAATGATTCTGTATCTGGTACATCATCACGTTCTAGGCGTTATAGACGACGCGGTGGTAACTCAAATCCTGAAGGAAATTATTCAGAAGAATCAAAGAATACTGTCTCACTAAATGTTGGTTCACCCCCAAGTTCAGTAGAAATTCCGACGGTGAATTCTAATCTCCGAACTGCAGTCAGTGCAAGTGCTAAAGCATTCAAGGACAAGTACTTTCCTGCAGATCCTGGTGCTGCTGAAGCTGGAGTTACAGATCATCTTTTACATCTGAAGAATCTTTGTTTGAAGTTGAATGTTGGTGTTGATGACCAAAGGACTAAAGCAAAGGGAAAATCTAAAGCATCTGGGTCCCGCATAGCTGATATATCTGCGAGTAAGGAAGAGTTTTTGATTGGGGTGATATCTGAGATGTTAACTGAACTGAGCAAAGGGGACGGTGTATCCACTTTTGAGTTTATTGGCAGTGGTGTTGTTGCAGCTTTGTTGAATTATTTTTCTTGTGGTTATTTCTCTAAGGAAAGAATTTCAGAAGCCAATTTGCTCAAGCTTCGCCAACAAGCTCTTAAAAGATTTAAGTCATTTCTTTCTGTTTCACTCCCATCTAGTGTGGATGCGGGAAGTGTGGCTCCTTTGACTGTCTTAGTTCAGAAGCTCCAAAACGCTTTGTCCTCACTAGAGCGTTTTCCTGTTGTGCTGAGCCATTCATCTAGGTCATCTGGTGGAAGTGCTCGTCTCTCTTCTGGACTGAGTGCATTATCTCAGCCTTTTAAGTTGCGCCTCTGTCGAGCTCAAGGAGAAAAATCTCTCCGTGATTATTCTTCTAATGTTGTACTGATTGATCCATTAGCAAGTTTAGCAGCTGTTGAAGAATTTCTTTGGCCTCGAGTTCAGCGAGGTGAATCTGGCCAAAAGCCTACGGCATCTGTAGGGAATTCAGAGTCTGGGACCACACCTACTGGAGCTGGTGCTTCGTCCCCTTCTACCTCAGCTCCTGCAGCTCGTCGTCATTCTTCAAGATCCAGATTATCTGTTAATATCGGAGATGCTGCTAAAAAAGAACCTTCCCAAGAGAAGGGCTCAAGCTCATCAAAGGGGAAGGGTAAAGCTGTTTTGAAGTCTGCTCAGGAGGAGGCAAGAGGACCTCAAACAAGAAATGCTGCTCGCAGAAGAGCGGCTCTAGACAAAGATGCACAATTGAAGCAAGTGAATGCAGATACAAGTTCTGAGGTAAGCTGTATACTCCAGTGTTTGTGGTTTGATTCTCATAATCCAAACCATCAAAATAATAATAGTTGTGATTTTCACTCCTAGTGTCAGGGGCTAGTTTGTAAAGGTGACTTATAATGTGTGTTTTCATTTCATTATAGCAGTAAAAAAATTGTGGTGATTTTTTTTTTTTTTTTTTTTTTTGTGTTATCACATAAGAAGGTGCTAAAAAGCTTTATGTTTCTTTTCCTTTAGTATATTAATTCATAAAATGCTTGTGAAAATTCTGTGATCCTTGAGTGTAAGTATGAGTTATTTTTGTTATTGAACCCCTGTTACTTTTGTTAATGGACTTCCATTTTAATTGGGCAATAAATATTATATATACAACTATTGTCTCAATATTCTCAGCTGCTTTTTGATTTCACCAATCTTACTAATAACTTTTTATTTTCTAGGATGAGGAATTGGATATATCTCCAGTGGAGATTGATGATGCATTGGTGATTGAAGATGAGGATATCTCTGATGATGATGATGACGATCATGAAGATGTAAGCTAATTTGATTTCATTAATCCCTTCATTTCTTGAAACAGTAGACTGCAAATTTCTTTTTCCTTCTGCTTAGTGATTCTTGTTTTATTATAAATAAAGTGTTTGAATTTCTTGATATAATCAGAGGACTGACCTATAAAGGAATAGATGGAGTAGGTAAAAAGTTATTAAACCTGCAATGATATTGGCAAAGCAAAGCAGATCCATATTTGTGGGTGAACTTTCTGCCTATTTTTGAATTAATTCTTAGAAGGGGTTTGATTATACATTTGTAGTGGGAAAAATGAGGATAATGAGCAAATGCTTTTGGATGGTCAGTTTGGACTTATCCAAAAGTGGCTGCAGGATCAAGGCCTGTGAGAGCTTTTGGAAGAAGTTACCCAAATGATGATTTACAAGCATATTGCTCGAACTTTCTGAAAATAATGAAACTAAAGGGGAATAGAATTTGATAGTAATTGAAATGAAAGTAGTATGTCATGGGTTTGTCTGGATGTATTTTCACATTCGTATGAGTATATGATTTTTCAAGTTCTGTAGGGAATCTTGCGGTGCCCCCTCCTAGTAATGTTAATAATTCTACTTTTATTGTCAAAAGGTATATGCTGACACAATATGATTTGTCACAAAGTTGATATTGGCTGGACAATTTTATTGGTTTCTGATCTTGCTTTTAATATGAGGTAAAGATAGAGAGGAGAAACCGTTATACACTTTTTCACTCTAGTTATTCCCTCTAGAGGAAAGGATTGGAATGTATTATCTATTTGGATAATGATATCTTGGCTGTTTGTTGCGTTAGTAGTTGTGTTCTGCAGTTTTTGATTATTGTTGGTAACATGTTTCCAATTTTTACAAAAAATAAAAGATGGACTGTTGCTTATCAGGAAAAAGGAGATGCATTATTGCCTTTTCAATTTAGTGGTAAAACTACAATTGTTTTCATTTTTGATTTCATGACCATAATTTTCCTATTGGGGACATTGCTTTCTTTCAGGTGCTGAAAGATGATTCTCTTCCTCTTTGCATGCCTGATAAAGTACATGACGTAAAATTGGGTGATTTGGCTGAGGATAGTGCCATTGCTTCAGCAGCTAGTGATAGTCAGACTAACCCAGCTTCTGGATCTAGTAGTAGAGCTGCTACAATCAGGGGTTCTGATTCTGCTGACTTTAGGAGTGGCAATTCTTACGGTTCAAGGGGTGCAATGTCGTTTGCTGCTGCTGCTATGGCTGGGCTTGGTTCTGCTAATGGCAGAGGTGTAAGGGGAGGCAGAGATCGACATGGACGTCCTCTGTTTGGCAGTTCCAATGAGCCTCCAAAGTTGATATTCACTGCTGGTGGTAAACAGCTTAACAGGCATTTGACTATTTATCAGGCCATTCAACGTCAGCTTGTTCTGGATGAGGATGATGATGAGAGGTATGGTGGCAGTGACTTCATATCAAGTGATGGAAGCAGACTGTGGAGTGATATTTACACTATGACATACCAGAGAGCAGACAGCCAAGCTGATAGGATGTCCATTGGAGGATCAAGTTCTACCGGTCCATCAAAATCTACAAAATCTGGTTCTGCTTCCAATTCCAACTCTGATGCCCAATCCCATCGTATGTCACTTTTAGACAGCATCTTGCAAGGGGAACTTCCTTGTGATTTGGAGAAATCTAATCCTACATATAATATACTGGCATTGTTGCGTGTACTAGAGGGTTTGAACCAGCTTGCACCTCGTTTGAGAGCCCAGATGGTTTCTGATAGTTATGCTGAGGGGAAAATATCGAGTCTAGATGAACAGAGTGCAACTGGTGCTAGGGTACCTTCAGAGGATTTTGTAAACAGTAAACTCACTCCTAAATTAGCTCGACAAATTCAAGACGCCCTTGCTTTGTGCAGTGGTAGTCTTCCCTCGTGGTGTTATCAGTTGACAAAAGCATGCCCGTTCTTGTTTCCGTTTGAGATCCGGCGTCAGTACTTCTATTCAACTGCTTTTGGGTTATCTCGTGCTTTATATCGTCTTCAGCAGCAGCAGGGTGCTGATGGTCATGGATCAGTAAATGAAAGAGAGGTGAGAGTTGGGAGATTAGAACGCCAGAAAGTTCGTGTCTCTCGGAATCGTATTTTGGATTCTGCTGCAAAAGTAATGGAGATGTATTCGAGCCAAAAGGCTGTCCTTGAAGTAGAATATTTTGGGGAAGTTGGCACAGGTTTGGGTCCCACCCTTGAGTTTTATACACTTCTAAGTCGTGATCTCCAGAAAGTTGGACTTGGAATGTGGAGGTCAAATTCTTCATCAGAGAAACCATCTATGGAAATTGATGGGGGGGAAGACAAAAATGGCAAATCCAATAATGTAACAGGAGATCTAGTTCAAGCTCCACTAGGGTTGTTCCCTCGACCTTGGCCTCCAAATGTTGATACTTCTGAAGGTAGCCAGTTTTCTAAAGTCATTGAGTACTTCCGGTTGGTTGGGCGTGTGACGGCTAAAGCTCTTCAAGATGGGAGGCTTTTAGATCTGCCATTGTCAACAGCATTTTATAAACTTGTGCTTGGTCAAGTAAGTTGTTGTGAACTGATTGAGTGTGCGATTATGTTGACTTCTCTCAGTGATAAGCTATATTCATAGGTTTCTTTCTGATGATATTCTGATGATAAACTCTAATCCATTGCAGGACCTTGATTTGCATGATATTCTTTCTTTTGATTCTGAGTTTGGGAAGATTTTGCAAGAGTTGCATGTCATTGTTTGTCGGAAACAATATTTAGAATCAGCAAGTTGTGATAATCGTGATGCAATTTCTGACTTACGATTCCGTGGGACCCCAATTGAGGATCTCTACTTGGATTTTACTGTTCCTGGGTATCCAGACTACATTTTGAAACCAGTTGATGAAAACGTACTGTATCTTTATTTTTGCGTGCCATTTTTGTCATTTAGTTCTGTATATGTTTCTGACGTTTGCTAAATTACTTTAGGTTGACATCAATAACTTAGAGGAGTACATATCCCTCGTAGTTGATGCAACTGTGAAGACTGGAATTATGCGGCAAATGGAAGCATTTAGAGCAGGCTTCAATCAGGTCTCTCCTTAATTTCTTATGTTTTTTGTAATCATGTTAACAGCTGCTGATTTGATGTTACCTTGAAACTTCCTATTATTTCATTTTACTTAACGGGACATTTTTGCTTGATGTACTTCTAACTACTACCACCTGCATTGTTTTATTTTTCAAATCTTTTAGTCTTGGTATGGATATGTGCCAATATTGTAATTTATTTTACTCGATTGATTTATCTTTTCAAAAACACAGTATCAAATTGTTGTTAGTATTAAGTGAGGATTTGCCTCCCTGTTTATTGAAATGGTATACTTGTCTTGTTTTGCTGTACACCAGCTTCAGAATTTACTGACCTGCTGCATGAAATAAGCAGGTTTTTGACATCTCATCACTGCAAATATTTACGCCTCATGAGTTGGACCATCTGCTTTGTGGCCGTAGAGAGTTGTGGGAGGTACTTATTATAAATTATGCCGCTGCTGCAAATTACACTAACTTAGTGGAACTGCACTATGTAAAGATTATGGTTATAAACCGACTTTAAATTTGTGCAGGCTGATACGCTTGTTGAGCATATAAAATTCGATCATGGGTACACTGCCAAGAGCACTGCAATTGTTAACGTATGCTCCTTTTCTATGTTTAATATTTTGTTCATTGAGACAATGATTCATTTTTAGTTAACAATATGGTGTTTTGTTTTTGATGTCTTCAGTTACTAGAGATCATGGGGGAGTTCACACCGGATCAGCAGCGGGCCTTCTGTCAGTTTGTTACTGGTGCACCTAGGCTTCCACCAGGTGGCCTGGCGGTGCTTAATCCAAAGCTGACAATAGTGAGAAAGGTAGCACTATGATTTTTTATTTTTACAGTCACATCTCGTTTTAGAAGTTCAAAAATACATAATGTCTTATTCAATCATTTGGCCCCCACGTGGTATTGAATATGTGCTTTCTTGCATGTTTCGGTGCAGCATTCGTCAACTGCAAGTAATGCAGTGACTAATGGAACTGGGGCATTGGAATCAGCAGATGAGGATTTGCCAAGTGTGATGACATGTGCTAATTACCTGAAGCTTCCTCCGTACTCTACCAAGGTACAGCATTTGGCAAATGAATAAAACAGTTAATTATATATCTGATGTCAAGCTTATTCAGCTACTAATGAAACATCCTTAATTGCTTTTCTTCTGAACAGGAAATTATGTACAAGAAACTGCTATATGCAATCAGTGAAGGGCAGGGATCTTTTGATTTATCATGAGTTGTTGAAACTAACCAATCGAGCTTTTGTATATTATAAACATCAGAACAATGTCAGGGTCAATTTTCTTCCCTGGGGATTATTCATCTTCAAAAGTAGAAATCCTATTTGGTCAAATAATGGCTTCTTTTCACTGCCCTTATAATATGTTTGCATCATTGACAAGGTTAGTTTTCATTTTTTTTCCTCCTGTTGAGGTTTTGCTGTCATAGGTCACAGCTTGCTGGGGTGTGTGGGTTTCATATTTTATATAGTTGATTATTAATAGATAGATATATTTATTGGTTCTTATGTGTTCAGGTGAGACCTCAGGCTGCCACATTGTGAGGGGAGCTTTGAAGAGGGAGGAATCCTCAGTTGTAGAGCCCTTGTTTTTTTTGCTGCTAGGCTTATTGTACATAAATAGGAAATTAGAATTCATTTTTCCTATTCGACAACTTAATTGGGTGGTAGAATATATATACATGTATGGGATCAATTGAAAGGGAAAAATAAATGATTGAAATGTTGTTATTCCTTGTTTAAGTTGATATTCTTTTTTTATTTCATTTTATATCTTGTATAGTATATTGTATGCGTCATCTGTGTTGAATGTTTTTGCTCCGTAATTGTATATATTGTAGAATGATTTCGGTTGTAGGTGAACTTGGTAAGTAGAGTAAAATGCTAGGATTGGAATTGCATATTTCACATGTTGATAAGCTGTTATTATGGCTTAATTTGCATTTGGAGCTAAGAAAATTGAAGATTGAGATGTGTTTTGTTGGATAAAGGTCGGCTAACAATCCAATTTTACAAATTTTTTTTTTATAGTTTCGGTGTGATAGTTCGTAAATGGGTAGATGAGACCCATAGCGAGTAGGTGGGATCTATTTACAAACAGTTGTGAGAGAAAGTTTGTAAAATTGAGTTGTTAGTGGGTAGATGAGACCCATAGTAAGTAGGTGAGATCTATTTACGAGCAGTTGTGAGAGAGTTTGTAAAATTGAGTTGTTAGTGTAGAAATACGCAGAGTGAGCTGAGAAAACCTATTTTCATTTGATAAACAATGAACAGTCATTTTTTTAAATTTGAGAAACACTACGTAAATAGCCATGAGTTTAAATTGAAATCGGAAGCCAAATTCATCTCTACACTCAACTTTTGTAAAGAATTTGTTTTTTTTTTCGGTTAGAGATTATCCAAACTTTAATTCCTTCCTCAATAACTGCAAAACCCATACCTTAATTCAAGCTCGTGTAAAGATTAAATGTTATTTAATCTTTGTTTTGGTTGTGAATTGAAATGTTCATTTATAACTTATATCCATGCGTTTCATATTCGACTGGAGTTTGCTTCCACAAATATAGCCATCCCTATCCCCTCATGTCAATCCTACGAGCCTCTTTTCCATTAAATAAAGTTATACTTCAATAATTAGAATTCGAAGTTGGATCAAGATCCCAAACTTTATATAAGTGTCTTTTTATTCTAATTTTAATGACATGTTTATTTTTACAATTCATAATTTCTGAGTCCTAGAAAATAAATGTGAGTTTTGAGTTTATTGGGCAACAATACAATAAAGATTGATTCACAAGCTAATCTTACAAATTTTCTCTCACAATTCTGACGTGGCAGTTCGAAATTGGACAGACAAGACTTATTGTTGGATAGATATGATTCATTGTGAGCTGTCATATCAGATTGTAAGAAAAAATTTGTGAGATTAGATTGTAAATGTAGTATTACTCGCAACAAAATAGTACGAGTGAAATCGATTGGAACATGAGTTGGAATAAATTTATATTATACATAGAAAAAAATAAAATATGGTTCCATATTACCTATTAATGAACGACTATATAGAAATTGCGTTTATAAATATAAAATAAATGAATAAAGAACACAAGAGAAGTGAGAGAACAATTGTTGAGATTGACCACTTCATATTCATTTTCCTGTACAAAAAAGTCGGAGGTCATTTCAATCTGATTTCTAATTTTAATTTGGCCTTCAACACTGCCATGCTTTAAGCTGCAACTTCCTGCAATCATATCCATTACCATTAATCTGACTGCAAACTCCTTGCAACTCTTCTCTGATCTCCTCTCTTTTATTTCACTTCTTGTAATCGCACTTCACTTGGATTGCTAGATTCTTTGTCACATCCGGACATGGATCCTGCTTCTGGGTCAATAGCTCTTTCTCATATGGTACTTCACAGCTATTCTTTCCCAGGCAATGCTGCCAAAAAAAGGTACAATCAATCAAAACATCTGTTTTTTGTTTTATGTCGACTGTTTGATATTATATTAAAAAACTGTTGTTGGAACTAGAAACTGTTTACCTTTTCTACGACTTCCTTGGTAGCAGGAACAGTGCAATTTCCGACAAGGTAGGCTCCGCAAAAACCAGTTGGGTCGCCATAGCTTGCGAACTGGACCTCGGTGATGACTTTGTGGGTTGGACAGTGCAAGCCAGCCACTGGTTTTGGAGCACCAAGCCTCGGCCGCAGCTGCTTGTTCTTGTGTTCCCAAGCCTGCACAGGTGGTGGATGGATGTCTGTTATATAACTGCAAATTGTATCTCTATCCACCAGTTCAATCTGGATCTCTTCAGGTTTCCCTCCTTCCTCCTCCTCAAGAACAACCATCAGATTGTCTGTTGGCTTCAAGAAGGATCTTGGAACATGGTACCTGATTACAACAATGTGTCGCGTCAAATCTGAGTTCATAGTTCACACCTTAATGTCTGGAAACATACTTCATTTTCGTGTATTACTTACTCGGATTGAGTAGGCTCGCCGAGAGGGGACAAGTAAGACACCCAGTAGCGGCCAATGCTCTTTCCATTTATCCAAATCATGCCTTTGCCCATCGTGTTCATCCTGATGGCGACAGATTTATCGCCTTCAGGAGCATCAAAAGTTGTCTGCGACAACAAAAATATAGTCACCTTTTTGAAGTTCATGGCCAAAATGTGTGAGATTTGAAGAGAATTTTATGCATTACCTTGAACCATGAAAGAGCCGGTCTTTTGTCCTCAAGCTTTCTCCACTTCATCTTGTTTAATCCTTCCTCACTGTAAACTCGAATTCTCTCTCCTTCCAAACCAACCTGCAAATAGACACTCGTGTTAGCTAGCCATCTTCAGGCACCAGTTTATCAATTTTGTTACAGGATTTCAATGAAATCTATATACCTGATGGCCCCAGTGATTGTTTGTAAGATCAAGAGTTCCCGTGTTCAAACCAAGAATCTCCACAGAGCGAGGTCCGGCAAATCTTTTCTCCATATAGACTCCGCTATCCTAATTTATTGATATAAAAAAAAACATTTTCACATTGTCTCTTCTAAAATTCATCAGTTGAAAACAATATGTAAGTTATTGAGTCCTTACTGGTAATCCAACTAAACCACCCAAGATCACGATACTGTTGACTCCAGGTTTCAGGTTTATTGGCCTCTGGAAGACGAAGCTCTTGTCGATATGGCTCCCATGTCCACATCCTAAAGTGTATACCTCAGTTAGCTAAATGAAAGATGGAACATTTCTAACGATACAACAGAATATTTTATATATTTGCTGTTTTGAACTTTTGAGGTTCTCACCGACGTATTCGCCATTTACAAATGCAAGTAAAGAATGGCCGAGACTTGCAACCATCAGAACTGGGGCAGTGTCTTGTTTCATTGGCAAGTCACGCCATCCTAAATTTATGCTGCATTGGAAATAATACAGAACATATTGAATCTATTGACAAGAGTTTGTGAATTATGCTATAATTCTGGGCAGTTTATGTTACACTTACCTGGTGGCGTAAAATGCATAATCTGTTGTATCCTTTGTCAGGCCAAAGAGCTCCAATGGGTTCTTGGCCTTGTTTGGAAGTTGGTCAAAGTTTGGAATAATTTCATTGGTCATCTCCCAGTTTGAGGCAAGCTTTTCGTTTGCAACCTCCGATTTCACGAAAGTTCTGGCATTATGCTGTGATACAATCTGTTCAACATAATCAACTTCTCTGTTAGCTAGTGCAATTTCTGCACAATGACATAACCCTTTACTGTTCAATTCTTTTAGTTTCTTCATAATCAACTTCTGTGACACCAATTGTAACACACAGGGAATTAGAACTCACCGTTTGAGTGTTGTAAACCACAGTCTTGCAGTCAGGGAGGATGCTGATCGATTTCGGGGGTAGGTAATATGAAATACCTCTAAATGTAACATTCTGAGCCTTATTAGTAGCATTGTTCGCCAAGAAAGCTGCACATGATCCGCTTCCCTCATAGACTCGAAACTACACATTTAAACTTGTTGACAATCAATAGAAGTTGTGTTAACATTTCTTTCACATATATTCAAGCTAAATCGTATGCATGTTTACCTCTGTAGCTTCGCTGAATTTTTCAACACTAGGAGTACCCCAAAGGAGAGCCCTCTTCCCTAGGTTTAAAGCCCTGTGTAAGTCCCTCAGGTGACTATATTTGGGTTCTCTAGGCAAACCTGTTAACAAATAAAAGCAAGCAAATTTAGATGCTTACAGGATAACCTTAGCTCGTTTTCTGAACTATCAAAGATGAACATTTTGAAATCGTTACCAAATTCATCAAGAGGTGCCTCATCATAGTAGCGTGTCGTTACAAAGTGGGCACTTGTTCTACCAAAATTTGTTCCACCATGGTACTGCAAACACAACCAAAGGTGTGATTCATAAGAAAAACAGATTGCTCTTCAGGTGATCTGAATGAAGTATCTTCCTACCATGTAGTAATTAGTTAGTGTTCCGTTTTTCGAAAAGAAGCGAGCAGTTGAGAATGCAATATCTTCTGCTGCTCTTTGGGATGGTGGGTCTCCAAATACTCTAAACCTGTAAATTTTACAGCAAAGAAATGCCATTAACAGTTGCACACATTTCTCTTCTCAGAATTGGTTCATTGACGGTTATTTAAACTGATACTCACTGAGCAGTCCAGTTCTCAGTCCACAGAGAAGGCTTGTCGGGTTTATTTGGGCCAACAAAAGTATCTCCGCAGTGCCTTCCATTGCAAGTATTAATCTACCAATAAAAGCCATGTGTTCATATAAAGAAATTTGTAATTGTATCTATATATCGTTCAATCAGAAACTTCTGTTGCAAGAAACCTCTCATTAATAAACATACCACTGGACCAGGAGCATCAACTTGCTTGCACATAACCCACGGGACTCCAGTGTTCAAATCCAATGCTAAGTTTCCTGCCCATTGAACGTAGCTGTCCCCCGACTTTCTAAATGCAAGCTGAATCGTGTTGTACTCATTTTCGATCTGCAATTCGAACAAATATATGTCAAATCAGAGCAGAAATATTATGCAAATGTCATTCTTTGGAAGTATAAAGAGGAACCAACTTGTGATAAGATGATGGGGCCTCCTTGCGAAGCGAATAACTTCTCGGCTTTCATCTTGTCGATAATCATTGTTACATAATTTTTCATATGGTACTGCAAATGGGAGAGTTTTTAGTCACAGGAGTAGAACTTGAATCAGTTGCATTTTATTTCCAGATCTGTGTTTTGTATTATAAACATAAAATTACCTTGAATGGTTCGTTATCAGACCGAAATGTAATGTTGGGGACCTCTCTTAACCAGTAAGGCAATCCACTGAGGTTTTACATTGACAAACCAAAATTATGAGACGAGACATTATGAAGCTTAAACTTATACAGGAGGGAAATTGAAAAAAACTGAGAAATTCAGAATTATACCCATGATTCCATTCAGCTTGAATGAAAGGTCCCACGCGGAGAGTTGCATACATTTTATGATCCTGAATCAGCTTGATGAATTTTACCAAATCATATTGTCCTTCAAAATTAAACTGCAAATCGAAAACATTTACCCAATAAATTACATTGCCTATACTATTTCTCTTATACAAACATAACTAGCTGGACATTTTATATATCACCTCGCCTTTTACTGGCTCATGAATGTTCCAGAAAACATAAGTCTGAATCACATTCAAGCCTCCACGTTTGGCCTTTTGAATAAGCTCCGGCCACATCTGAACCACACAACACAGCACAATCATTAGCCATATTTGTGAGCCATCTTTACCTTTATTAACATCTTCTAACTTATATCGAAAATTCTCCGAATGTAGAGGTTAACATACATCAGGGGTGCTACGGGTGTAATGAATAGAGCCGGAGAAGAGAAGCTCCCTTTTTCCATTAATGATCAATGACCTTCCATCATAACCTATACCCTTTGTATTGTTCTTGCCACGATCATCGCTTGCAGTTACAGAAGAAGCAAGCAGACTAAGCAAGGTAAAGAAAACAACCCACCTCACGTCCGTCATTGTTGTTAAAGTAAAATAATTAAAAAGAAGAACCTCAAAGTATATTAATTAGACGAAAAAGAAAGACAGCGGGTTAAGGAGCCAAAACTGGGCCCTCCTGCATGAATATGGAGGTACCCGGAAGCTGAGAAACGATATTTCCTTTCATAAGACAGAGTTATAGGAGAAATTGATGGCAAATATAAGGCCTTGGAGTAAACCTCGGATTGTCTTTATACTAAACTTGGAAGTTAACATGAGTTGGAGGAGGTCTGAATTAGGACTGGACCTGCTTAAGAATCGGCTTATCAGCTTCTACAAGTGTAACAACAACTCGAAACTGGCGGGTAACTTAACAGAACTATTAAAAAACTTTCTTCCTATTCGTTCATCATTGTTAAGATTAACAATGGTGTATATTACATGAAGAATATATTTTTTTTTTTTTTAATTTCAAAGGTTAACATGAGTTGCTGTATTTCTGTTGTAACTAAACGTTTTCATTTCATTATATATTAAGAAATGTGATATCAGATTACAACCAACAAATGATCATATAATTAAGCGAAAACTATATTGTTAGGACATGCATTATTAATTATTTTCTAGATACATGATTCATATGATAAATGAAAGAGTAGTTGTTATATGATAATACATATTATGTTATAAAATTAGGTTATGGTTATAGAAAATGATTGTTAGAGCCAACAATGACTATTATGATAATCTTAACAGTTCGTTTGAGACTCTTGGATGTATTACTTGAGAGTTTTTATGTTTGGATCCTAACGACTACTAATAAATGGTAGACACTGGAGGCTTACCGGATCGTTAACTTTAGGATTCCGAGAGACTAGTGAAGGTGTTTGCAAATTGACTCGAACACCCCTAGATACCCAAAAAAAAAAAAAAAAAAACATGACTGTTAAATCTCTCAAATTGGACAAATAGTCAGAAACCATTTGAGAAATACAGTTGTTGTTAATGGTTAACAACTTTATTAAATAATAATAGTAAGAAATTATTCGAGCCATTAAATATGTGGTTTGCTCCTATAAAGTTTGGGATTTGAGCATTCTTATAAACACCTACATGGTCAAAGGTCATTGTGTCCTACTTTTAGGGGGCATTTGGTTCAGATACTGAATTATTAGGAATGTTAGATTACTGGAAAGTTAGATTACCTTAAAGATTATTGGGAATCTTTAAGAAAATATATTTGGTTAATTAGTGGGTATGTTATTTAATTTATTGAATTGTCCTCTAATTAAATATTATTATTATTTTATTTTTTAATATTGATTATTATTTGGATTATTATAACCCCCTGCATTTAAAAACTTAGTAAAAACAACCTTATAATAAAAGTTTGGAAAATCAACAAAACACCCCACCAACCTCATAATAAAAGTTTAAAAAATCAACAAAACACCCCACCAACCAACCACTGTCGGCCGTCGGCAATTACCACAGGCCGCCGGCAACCTAACAGCGCACGGAAGGCAGGAAATGGCCTCCGTTCATCATATGGTCATTTCCGGCCAAAGATCTGGTCATTAACGACCATCGATCTGGCCGTTAACGTAGTAATTAAGTAATATAAGATGACATAACTCCAGTAATCCCACATTATCCCCAATCAAACGCCCCTTAAAGCCAAAGATTATAAGGTTAGACTAATATCATTATAACACAAATGGTTATATGTTATCAAACTTATATATATATTTAAACATATTTTGAACACCCTTACGGATAATGTTAAGTTTCATATAAAAATAAAACTAACAATATATCAGATAGTGTATTTTAGAGGATTGATTCTAATTGATATTCTCTAGATAATATGCTAGACCAGGATACAGTGGCATGGGATACATTTGCAAGAATTTTTGGATTTTTTTTTTTTTTTTGGTAATTGGGTATCTGAGCTAGCTTGTGCGCATCTCAATTAATCTTTCTATTTGACTGTGGCCAGATGGCAAGACCTTCGGTTACCTAGAAGACTTATGTTTGAGTTTCATTAAGTGACAACTACTACATTTATGACTTACTTGGCCCATTAAGTTTGTAGAATGTTCAATAGATCCTGAAAATGTTTAGTAGACCCTAAAGATTAGTTGAGATGCGCATAAAATCAAACCGGCCGGACACTTCGGTCCTAAAAAATAAAAAAGAAGGATTTTTGGAAATTTAAAAACCCTCCAAGTCTTAATTTTACTAAAAAACCCATGAAAATCCGATCAATTTCACTATAATAATTCCCTCCAAAAACAAATTAAACTCTCCCGCCACAAAAAAGACAATTTTCATTTATTTGATTATTTCGCTTTTAATAAAAACGAAACACACAACCATCTTACAGTGAATTTCTTCACTAATTGCATAAACATGTCAAGACACCAAGATGATCTTGACCTCCTTCTCTCTCTTCAAGACAGGGTTTTGGAGACTCCTCCTGCTTCTCCTTCACCAGGTACTGTTTCATTTGTTTTATGCTTTTAGTTTTCATTGCTCATTTTTGTAGCAATTAAGCTGTAGTATTGATAAAATTTTACCCATTGGTTGAAAAATCTATCTGGCTATTTATTGATTTCGTCTGGTTTATAGTTTTTCAATCCTTGTTCTCTTTGTTTCCATGTGACTTGATCTGGGTAGTTCTTTGTTCGCTCCAATTTGCAATACTTTGGAGTTTTAATTCTATAATTATTTTGTACATGGGTATTTTTATTTCATCAAAATCATGTATGTTTTTCCTTTTATTTTCTTAAAAAATTATGGAAAATTTTATCTATCTCATTCTAGGTGTGACTTGATCACAGATGGACTCCCTTCTTTTGAAATTAAGTACCAATGAAATTGGTTAATCTTTATTTATATATAATAATTAAGGCGTGAAGATAAATCTCAATGAATGAGTTTCTCTGTAAATTTTATGTGGTATATCTTAATGTGTATCGAATTTTGTAGGGTACCTGTCTGATGATGGATCTCCAAGGCAAAGAGGTCAAGTGGACATGTCTGCTTTTAGAAATGTTGTGCAAGACTGTCTTGATTATGAGCCAAAACCAGTTGAGAAATCTGGGAAGTTGAACCAATCAAAGAACTTAAACAATCCCGAGGTTGAGAAGTTTTCCGGGCTACGAATTAGGTAAACTGAGTGCAACTCCACTTAAAACAATCATAGAATACTCTTCACAATAAAGTTTCATGCTGTTCTTGGTTGCTGAGGAAAAAAGAAGTAGAAGTTATTGTTTTAGGTTACGGTTTGCAAGAACTAGTTCTTAGCTGATAATTTTACAAGTGATTTGGCTTAAATAAAAAAAATAATCGAGTCATGTAGTTGAAAGCAAAACTAAAATGTAATATGAAAGGTTTTTTCTGTTTTTCAGTGTCTATTTCTCAGCAACTTAAAAATTTGTAAAGAGTAGATGAAGCAATTCTGAAAATTTTCTAACTGGTTAAATTCTTTTCAGGAGCCAAGTGGTCACCCCTGCAGAGCTTAGTGAGCGCTTTTCAGATATCCGATTTGTTCGATTATCAACTATAAAGTACTTTTTGTAGTTCTTATGTTTACATATATAACCATGGTTAATTGATAAATTCTTGGTAGTTATTTTCTGGCTTTGATGTTGCTCTTACTAGTGAAAAATTGCTCCCAAATTGGTCGATGAATGAAACTTAATATTGTATTAAATTTCAATGTTGTAGTGATTTTATAAGTTGGATTCTTGTAGGAATTTGTTGGCTGGAGACACTCTTTCAGGTTGTTGGGCAACTGTTGGAGTGTTGACTGAGAAGGGCTATCCAAAGACTAGTTCTATCGGGAAGAACTATTCTATATGGAAAATTGGGTGCTTAGATGAGAATACCATATCTGTATTTTTGTTTGGTGATGCTTATCAGCAGAACTTGAAAGAGCAGGCTGGAACAGTTTTTGCACTGTTTTATTGTACTGTACGCAGAGACACCAAGGTATCAACTTGTTACTTATTAATAGGTTTATGTTGATTAATATTTCATCAAAATAATGAAAATCTATGTTTGTTATTGCAGGGACCAGGTTTTTCTTTGACTGTGACCTCTCCAAGTCAAATCCTTAAGATGGGTACTTCAGTGGACTATGGGGTTTGCAAGGGGAAAAGGAAAGATGGAATGGCGTGTACAGTTGTCATAAATAAGTATGTTCCAGGCACTCCTTGAATTATCTTATTTTAGAATGACATGCCACAGCAATTGCTTTGCATACTCTTATGGTATGAAGTGGTTTTGGTTATGTAGACTTTATGTTTCTAAAACTACCTATTTATTTCCTGTCTTTAAGATAAGATTACCGGATGATGAGTTAGTATTTTGCAATTTAGAAGATATGACTTTTATGATAGGTTTCACACAATGTGCTTGGTCTAATCAGGATGACTGAAAAACAGACCTCGCATATTTTTACTCTCGAATTTGATTTCAGTGATTTTTCCCATTTGACTGTCCATGACGCTATGTTTTCCAGAGTAGAATTGAACAGATTGGTGCAAAACCTTAAGTTCCATGCTGCGACTCGCTGATTACATTGCTCTTTAAGTACTGTTGGACATATGAAGGCTTTTCTGGGATTGAAAGGAACATAAAGGCTGAATCAACTGGATATAGCCAATGAACTATAGTAGAGCTAAGGTTGAGATGATTACTTTTTTAGGATAATGGACATCAGAACAATCATCTCATTATTAAGTGAATAAGTGTGCCACTATTCTTGAACAACTCGGAGCTGGGGCTTCCTTTTGCACTATTACGGATATGAAATTAATGGGAAAAATTGGATTCAATTGTCAATTGCTCCTATAAATATGATTGACTACAGATTCGAACCATAGCACATGCTTTCATAAACTGTACGATTCTTTTGATCTAAATCAAGCAGGTTTTACATGAAGAAGTTCTATTCGATATGCGTAGGAGAAGTGGTATTCTTAAAAAATAGAGAAATCAGAACCAAGTCAAGATGATACCCGTCTTTCATTTATTTGGTTCTTACAGATTTTATTTGTTGCTTCTGCCTGCAAAACAATGTACTCTCTCTATATATTCTCTCTTTAAAATAATAGATATGTAGAGAGATAATGTCAAGATGTTGAGTCTTCTGTCCTGGTAAGTAAAGCTCATGACCTTTTACAATATCTAAGCATGGATACTCTGCGTTACCATAGACTGAATTATTGGTTCTGTATTATTTTAGGAATATGGAGATATTTCCTAGAATTCTTATATTTTTATGAGTTTCATCTCTTGTATCATCCAAATGCTAGTTGGTCAATTATTTTTCTGTAAGCAGCTGGATACAAATTTTCATAACAATTGATTCATATGGTTCTGTATTCTTTTAGGAATTTTTTTTCCCTGGTATCTTTAGCTTAAATGTCTTTTTGATGATTTGATTTTTGAGTCATTTTGTTGTTTCAGACGTAAAGGAATATATTGCAAATATCATAAAGTGGTAAGAATGATTGTCAAAATCCTTGTTCTTGTTTGACCAATGTATCTTTAGAGTAAATTTGCTAATGACTACTTTTGTACAGAAAACATCAGATAAATTTTCCACAATGCGAACTGAATTGAAGGGAGGGTAGGTGATCAATTATTGGCATCGTCTGAGTCATCTGCTGTCTAGTGTTTACCAGTGCTCACTATATTTAGTTATTTCTCCTAAATGCATCCAGTTTGTGATTGTTTGTTTTCAGGAACTTAAGAACAGCATTTAGGGATCCTTACAAGCCGGAAGGCATTTACATGGTTGACCCTCTAGCTGACAGATCAAATTTAACTAAGTCCAAGAAGCCAGTGAAGTTGCTGTCAGTTGAAGCACTCAGAAATGCTTTAAGGTTTGCATAGATATCATGGGGATATCCACTTTAAATGCAAATAAGTCTTCTCCAATCATTGTCAATGGGTTTGATTAATGTTGTTGATGATCAGCAATGCAGGTAAAGTGACAACAAATATACATTCACAAGGAATAAGATTTCTTAATGAAGTCGCAGGTATAAGATTGCAATTCTCTTCTGCTTTATTCTGGCTGTGATTGTCCTGAGCTGATGTATATTACTCTGTAGCTGCAGGGGAAATGGGCTCAAAAAGTGCAAGGGCCGAAACTATAATGCCAGGTCAACAAAAAACTAGCTTAGACAAGAGGTAAATCATATATTAAATTAGCAAAAGGTTGTGGTATGATTGTCAGTTGTGGTTTTCTTTCCATGGAATTGAACTTTTATCTATCATACCTCAGGAAATCATCTACTGCAAAACCGAATCCATCTGTTGTAAAGCAACAAGCAGATACCAAAAGAAAGAAAACTGATGTGGGCCAAGCATTGATGGACAAAACTAAGCAGGGAACAGGAAAGATGATTGAATTAAACTATTTTAGTTCAGACGAAGAAATTTGAGTATTCCTGTTAATCCTCACCACCTTGCTGCACCAGTTCTATTTTAGGGAAGTTAAATCACAACTTAGTAAGTTGTCTTTTATGGTTTAAAACCGTGCCTAATTGTTGAGGAATTATCTACTAGTGATTATTCTCTTGGTCAAAGTTTTGAGGACCCCAGATGATGCAGTTCAGGATTGAAGGTGTAAGTTCTGATGTCTAATTATGGTAATTAATTCTGCAGAGAAGAGCTTGTAGTGATAAGCACAGACTAGTTGAGCAAGTTGAAGTCCAGAGCTGTTTGATTGGAAGATTATCCTGATTGTCATTCTTTATGATTTAAGGAAACATTGGACGCTGTATATTTCTTTAAGATTTATTTAACCCCCTCAAACAATTTGATTGTCCAGCCCAAGAATTTTTTTTTAGAAGTAAAGAAATGACACAGTTTAGTATGTTTTCCCATTCTTGTGCTCCATGAGGAATTGTTTTACCATGTGAAGAATATCATGAAGTTTACCTTTCTGCTTTCCTCTTATGCTTCATAACGGATGAACGAAAGAAGACCAAAAAAAAAAAAAAAAAAAAAAAAAAAAAAAAAAAAAAAAGGAGATCCACGATAATAATATGGTTCTATCATGATTCCTACATTTGACTTTCTTTTTCCTCAGAAAGTTACTTGATAATTATCTTGTAATCTCGAGATAAAATCTACATCATAGTCATGAGAATCCTACTATCTTGTGAGGGATGCCACCATAACAGAGCATGGAGGTATGTATAGCTTAACTTTCTGCAGATTTCAATTTTTGAACATGTTATTGTTAAGCCATACACTTATAACAAAATAATCTAGAGTACACATATTTTATCTGTTTTATGTGCCTATTTTATTCGGATTAGAATTACATTATTCATTTGAAATTGATAGCAGCTGATAGATAGGTAGGGAGGGACCATGGCATCTTAGAAGAATCAGGTTGAGATATGTTGAAATGAGAAGACAGTAGTAGGAAGGTTGGTGATCCATGCACATGGAGTTGGTGCTACTCCATGTGCTGTTGAAATGTTCAGCCATTTTGTTATGTATTTAGTTGGCCTAATTAATGTACTGTTGAGTCTGTGATTATTAAAAAAAATTAAACGCCTTGTCCATGAAGTAATTGAGTAGAACATGTTCCTCAACTAAACACATATGGACCCTAGACTTTGTTTCCCTAGAAGTGAAAGTTGCAAATTACACTATTTCTTATAGACAATTGCACCATTGTTAAGGTCTTGTCCAGACGGTTTGGTTTCTGAGATTGATTATTGGCTGATTTTTTTGTGAAAGCAACCTTGATGATGATCCTAATTGCTTGACTTTAAAGGCTGTTGTTAGCATGAAATTAATGTAATAACAGGTTGTTTATTTATTAGGGGTCAAAGGGTTCACACTAATTGCTTTTTGAGTTGCTGCTGCAGTGGACCTAAAAACCATTTGCTATTTCTTAAAATTTTTGCACTTCAGTTGAGATGTCATGGGTGATGATATGGACATACCCAATTAAAATGGTTATGTGGGTCAGTGAAGTAACCCTTAACCACTCAACAAACCACTTTTTCACAGAAAAAATTAGCTGGTTCAAGAGTCACTTTAGTGTGATGTGTCAAGCAACAACCCAGAAAACCAGATCATGCTGACCAAACCCAATTGCCCTATTTATCATACCATGTTTGACTTAATTTTATTTTCCCCTATGAGGTTGTTTTCGATTGACAGGGTTCAGATCTTATCCCCACATATAAGTGGCTCCCTCACTTTAGTGACTCAACTTGAAAGCCAATGACTCAAATCTATCCCCACATATTAACTCTTTGCTTCATGAAGAAGGCTAAACTCAACCACCCACCACCTGTTTGTACAAATGACTATTTGTAGCAATTTTTTCACATTTTGTGTCACAATTATTATTACCATCCTTCTCATCATCATCAATTTGGACACACATACCTATGCATTCTACTCATATAAATTTAAGGCTACTTTGATGCCCATCTCATCAAAGGACCCATCATCTTTATTACCCAACAGAAGAAATTTAATGTTTTTTTAGAACATGATATTTTTTTTTAAAGATTGTTAGGTTTGTGGTGTTACCCATTTGATCTTAACATTCAAATAATTCAACATATTTTATTACTATTAGAGTACTATCTTGATCTAAAATTTTAGATTTGTTTTTAATTTACTAGATTAATAGGTTTATATAGACTTAATTTGAAAAGGACATTTCAAATTATATTAAATATGGGATTTAAATTTAATATATGCCTATCATTAAAGGCTTATAGCCATTAAGTTAATTTCAGGAGACATTGGCATTGGGTGCTAAAAATTTATTTACATCCAATGTGGATTCCTCTTCTGTATTAAATATCAGAAGAAATGAATTTTTTTTTATAATCATTATTGAGATTATACCAAAGAAAAATGTCTCCTTTAATCATTTTCAATTATATCCCAAAGTATATAAATTTAAAAACCTTAAATGCTATTTTTTTTTTTTTGTAAACCTAGTTGTTTTTTCCTTAACTCAAAACAAAATCTTGGCGTATAGTTAATTTAGTGCTAAGTGTTTGTCATGAAAATGTTTAATGCTAATCAATAACCCAAAATACTTTATGGGACATGCAATATTCAACCTGTTTTATCCATCTATCAATTGGCAGCTTCAGGATTTGTCCTTCAAATGAGACATAAACTTCCCCAAAATATATTTTGAAAAATCTTTTTTTTTTCTTAATAAAAAAATGAAGTCTTAAGTCTCAAACCTTAAAATTCAGAATTAGAAAAGATAATTTAAATTTTTATTAATAAAAATGAATCTAGTACATTTTCAAGAATAAATTTTTAAAACTTATAAAAAATATTACCATCAACCCATTTTTGTTTTTGTTGCATAAACAGTTTTTGAAAAATATATTTTTAAAAGTGATGTTAAATAGTAAATAATACAGGTTAAACTTAAAGGCAGAAATTTGTGAGGCATGACTGTGATAGTTAGATATCAATATTAGCTGGCGAGAGCTGTCACTCTAGTACCCACCCCACCTTCAAACAAAAACAAAAAACGGAAACAAGAAGAACGAAACATTTAGCCAAAACGCAAAACGCTCCTTTCTGTCGCGCTCTGTGCTAGAGCAAAAGTGTTGCACTGAAATTAGGTTTTTTTTTTTTTTTAGTTACAGACAGACCAAGCAAATTGAGGAAGAAGAGTGAAGAGACACTGAGCTTTATAAACGTGGCGTAAAATGAGTGCGTCGAGGTTCATAAAGTGCGTGACAGTCGGTGACGGTGCCGTTGGCAAGACTTGTATGCTTATTTCCTACACCAGCAACACTTTTCCTACGGTTGGTAACCTAATTTAGAGCTTCTGTTTGGTTCCCGAGAAAATGTGAGAGAAAAAAGAAAATATTTAGCTTTGTATGACCAATTTCTCTGCTTCTGTTGTGGTTTTAGTTTTTAAGCTTCAATGTTTTTTTTTCTAAAGTCTTTTATTTGTTCTTAGCTCATTTTCTCGGGAAACAGACGGAAAGTTTTGATTTTTACTGTGATTTGCTGCAACAGTGTTGCAGAAGTAGTGTTTAGTGATAATGGATTTTTGCATTTCTTTCTTGGGTATTTTTTTTTTTTTTTACTTCTTAAATGGGTTAATTAAAGGGTTTCTTTAGCTTTGGTTACAGAAAAGGTTGACTTTTTACTATATTGCTTTGATGAGGAAGTGTTATATTGTGTCTTCTTTTATTAACAGTACGAGTGTGGAATTTTGAATATTGATTTTTGGCTTAAATTTTGAAGATAACTTCCTGTTTAAAATTAGCGTACTGAGGCTTTTTTTTTTTTTGGTTTCTTTAGTATGTTATTGTAGTTTAATTAGCCATACTTAAAGGCAAGATGCTTGATCAGGGTTGACTTTCTGGTGCTTTCATCCGTTTGGTTTTTTATCCCTCTGTTTAGTTTATTGTTCGAGAGTAAATGTTAACCTTGCTTTTATTCAGTGAAATAGTGTTGTGAAGCTCATAAAATGAAAGATCTTATGCAAGAAGGGTCTTTTTTTATTTTTAATAAAAAAAAGTTATTTCTTTCTATTTTTTTTTTTTACTAAGCAACCGGAGGTGCATTTTATCAAAAGATTAAATGAAAACATTTCAGAACATGGTATTTGCGAATGATGGATTTCTTAGCTGATGATAAATTACTTTCTGTGTGCTTCCTAGAATATGGTAAAAGTGGAAATGCTAGAATTCTAATTTCCTTGTTTAAAGGTTCTACTGATGTATTATTGTGATGTTTGATCTTTGACTGCTATGGATGTTATTCTCTGCTACTGCCTCCTTTCCTGGACTTGATTTTGTAACAGTTAATATGACCACTAATATTGATTATAACATCGAAAATTCTCTCTTCTTTGCTGTGTGTTGGCCAACAGGACTATGTGCCAACTGTCTTTGACAATTTTAGCGCAAACGTGGTTGTGGATGGAAGCACTGTTAATCTAGGGTTATGGGATACTGCAGGTAAGTCCGTTTTTCTTCTTCTTTATAAGTCACTTCTTATCATGGTTTTAATGTTTTTAATTTGTCTTACAGGCCAGGAAGATTACAATAGATTAAGACCTTTGAGCTATCGCGGGGCAGATGTGTTCCTGCTTGCATTCTCTCTCATTAGCAAGGCCAGCTATGAAAATGTTGCTAAGAAAGTAAGACTGGATGTATTTGTAGAAGTTTGTTTCCTGTTGTTTTAATAGATGATATCTGATTGTGATGTGCTAATAGATTCTTTATATTTTGTGTTTGAATGTGCAGTGGATTCCTGAATTGAGGCACTATGCACCTGGTGTTCCAGTTATTCTTGTTGGGACAAAGCTTGGTTAGATACCACTACTCCCCATTTCGTCTATGTTAAGATTACGTTACTAGCTGTTACTATTGGTTGTCTGTACCTTTAATAGCGATAGAAAGCATTTCCCCTATGAGGTTGTTTTCGATTGACAGGGTTCAGATCTTATCCCCACATATAAGTGGCTCCCTCACTTTAGTGACTCAACTTGAAAGCCAATGACTCAAATCTATCCCCACATATTAACTCTTTGCTTCATGAAGAAGGCTAAACTCAACCACCCACCACCTGTTTGTACAAATGACTATTTGTAGCAATTTTTTCACATTTTGTGTCACAATTATTATTACCATCCTTCTCATCATCATCAATTTGGACACACATACCTATGCATTCTACTCATATAAATTTAAGGCTACTTTGATGCCCATCTCATCAAAGGACCCATCATCTTTATTACCCAACAGAAGAAATTTAATGTTTTTTTAGAACATGATATTTTTTTTTAAGATTGTTAGGTTTGTGGTGTTACCCATTTGATCTTAACATTCAAATAATTCAACATATTTTATTACTATTAGAGTACTATCTTGATCTAAAATTTTAGATTTGTTTTTAATTTACTAGATTAATAGGTTTATATAGACTTAATTTGAAAAGGACATTTCAAATTATATTAAATATGGGATTTAAATTTAATATATGCCTATCATTAAAGGCTTATAGCCATTAAGGTTAATTTCAGTAGACATTGGCATTCGGGTGCTAAAAATTTATTTACATCCACATGTAGGATTACCTCTTCTGTATTAAATATCAGAAGAAAATGAATTTTTTTTTTTATAATCATTATTGAGAGGTATACCAAAGAAAAATGTCTCCTTTAAATCATTTTCAATTATATCCCAACAGTATATAAATTTAAAAACCTTAAATGCTATTTTTTTTTTTTTTTTGGTAAACCGCTAGTTGTTTTTCTTGGAACTCGAAAACAAAAATCTTTGCGTATAGTTAATTTTAGTGGCTAAAGTGTTTGTCATTCGAAAATGTTTAAATGCTAATTTCAGATTAGACCCGAAAATACTTTCATGGGTCACATGCAATATTCAACCTGTTTTATCCATCTATCAATTGGCAGCATTCAGGATTTGTCCTTCAAATGAGGCATAAACCTTCCCCAAATATTAATTTTGAAAAATCTTTTTTTTTTCTTAATAAAAAAAATGAAGTCTTAAGTCTCAAACCTTAAAATTCAGAATTAGAAAAGTATAATTTAAATTTTTATTAATAAAAAATGAATATCTAGTACATTTTCAAATGTTATGTTTTCAAGAATAAGATTTTTAAAACTTATAAAAAATATTACCATCAACCCATTTTTGTTTTTGTTGCATAAAACAGTTTTTGAAAAATATATTTTTAAAAGTGATGTTAAATAGTAAATACAGGTTAAACTTAAAGGGCAGAAATTTGTGAGAGGCATGACTGTGATAGTTAGATATCAATATGTAGCTGGCGAGAGCTGTCACTCTAGTACCCACCCATACCCACCTTCAAAAACAAAACAAAAAACGGAAACAAGAAGAACGAAACATTTAGCCAAAACGCAAAACGCTCCTTTCTGTCGCTCTGTGCTAGTACGCAAAAAGTGTTGCACTGAAATTAGGTTTTTTTTTTTTTTTTTTAGTTAAGCACAGACCAACAAATTGAGGAAGAAGAGTGAAGAGACACTGAGCTTTATAAACGTGGCGTAAAATGAGTGCGTCGAGGTTCATAAAGTGCGTGACAGTCGGTGACGGGCCGTTGGCAAGACTTGTATGCTTATTTCCTACACCAGCACACACTTTTCCTACGGTTAGTAACCTAATTTAAAGCTTCTGTTGGTTCCCGAGAAAATGTGAGAGAGAAAAAAGAAAATATTTAGCTTTGTATGACCAATTTCTCTGCTTCTGTTGTGGTTTTAGTTTTTAAGCTTCAATATTTTTTTTTTTCTAAAGCCTTTTGTTTGTTCTTAGCTCATTTTCTTGGAAACAGACGGAAACTTTTGATTTTTACTGTGATTTGCTGCAGCAGTGTTGCAGAAGTAGTGTTTAGTGATAATGGATTTTTGCATTTCTTTCTTGGGTATTTTTTTTTTTTTTTACTTCTTAAATGAGTTAATTAAAGGGTTTCTTTAGCTTTGGTTACAGAAAGGTTGACTTTTTACTATATTGCTTTGATGAGGAAGTGTTATATTGTGTCTTCTTTTATTAACAGTACGAGTGTGGAATTTTGAATATTGATTTTTGGCTTAAATTTTGAAGATAACTTCCTGTTTAAAATGAGCGTACTGAGGCTTTTTTTTTTTTGGTTTCTTTAGTATGTTATTGTAGTTTAATTAGCCATACTTAAAGGCAAGATGCTTGATCAGGGTTGACTTTCTGGTGCTTTCATCCGTTTGGTTTTTTATCCCTCTGTTTAGTTTATTGTTCGAGAGTAAATGTTAACCTTGCTTTTATTCAGTGAAATAGTGTTGTGAAGCTCATAAAATGAAAGATCTTATGCAAGAAGGGTCTTTTTTTATTTTTAATAAGAAAAAGTTATTTCTTTCTATTTTTTTCTTTTACTAAGCAACCGGAGGTGCATTTTATCAAAAGATTAAATGAAAACATTTCAGAACATGGTATTTGCGAATGATGGATTTCTTAGCTGATGATAAATTACTTTCTGTGTGCTTCCTAGAATATGGTAAAAGTGGAAATGCTGGAATTCTAATTTCCTTGTGTAAAGGTTCTACTGATGTATTATTGTGATGTTTGATCTTTGACTGCTATGGATGTTATTCTCTGCTACTGCCTCCTTTCCTGGACTTGATTTTGTAACAGTTAATATGACCACTAATATTGATTATAACATAGAAAATTCTCTCTTCTTTGCTGTGTGTTGGCCAACAGGACTATGTGCCAACTGTCTTTGACAATTTTAGCGCAAACGTGGTTGTGGATGGAAGCACTGTTAATCTAGGGTTATGGGATACTGCAGGTAAGTCCGTTTTTCTTCTTCTTTATAAGTCACTTCTTATCATGGTTTTAATGTTTTTAATTTGTCTTACAGGCCAGGAAGATTACAATAGATTAAGACCTTTGAGCTATCGCGGGGCAGATGTGTTCCTGCTTGCATTCTCCCTCATTAGCAAGGCCAGCTATGAAAATGTTGCTAAGAAAGTAAGACTGGATGTATTTGTAGAAGTTTGTTTCCTGTTGTTTTAATAGATGATATCTGATTGTGATGTGCTAATAGATTCTTTATATTTTGTGTTTGAATGTGCAGTGGATTCCTGAATTGAGGCACTATGCACCTGGTGTTCCAGTTATTCTTGTTGGGACAAAGCTTGGTTAGATATCACTACTTCCGATTTCGTCTATGTTAAGATTACGTTACTAGCTGTTACTATTGGTTGTCTGTACCTTTAATAGCGATAGAAAGCATTAGACTTTACATATCATCATCTCTTTTCTAGGTTGGATATTGCTTGCTAATTTTTTTCTTATGCATTGTATTCATATTCTCGCAGAATTATCACTCTACTCTCTTCTGGAACAGTGATAGCAACCTTTAATAAACTCTTCAGAATTGTTGATGTGCTTGATTTACTTGCTAATTATTAATTTAATATGATTAGGATAACAGTTCCATGCTTACCTTTTGAATGACGCTGTATTCTTTGCAGTTGTTAGAGTCTGTATTTTCATCTCATATATTGGTTTTAATTCTCTTCTTTTGTAGATCTTCGGGAAGATAAGCAATTCTTTTTAGACCACCCTGGTGCAGTGCCCATTACTACAGCCCAGGTATGTGCTGTTGCTTCCCATATTAATAACCATTATTTTTTGGAATTCTTCACCTTGATTTTTGTCATCTTGTTTGTAACTTTGCTTTGAAGGGGGAGGAATTGAGAAAGCTGATTGGAGCTCCTATTTACATCGAGTGTAGTTCAAAAACACAACAGGTATATGCACTTTATTCTTATCTTTATAAATCATGAGATATTTGTGATTGCCTTATAATTGACCTTATTTATGTTGATTATCCTTTACATTTCCAGAATGTGAAAGCTGTCTTTGATGCAGCGATCAAGGTGGTTCTCCAGCCACCAAAGCAGAAGAAGAAAAAGAAGAGAAAGACACATAAGGCCTGCTCTATTTTGTGATTCTTCACAAGAAGAGTTCTATGGACAAAGCATAACCAGTTAGCTGTTTTATCCTTCTTCTCACCCTCATTGTTTTTCTCGTCTTTTCCCTTGTGGAGGAAGAAGCCGACTGAGGTTTATAGTCTCAACTGACTGAACTAGGGGGCTATCTAGAAGCATCATATCATGTATTTTTCACTTTCTGGGTTGTGTTTCAATTTGTATATTAATAATTCACATTGTGTTTGTTAACATGCATACCTCTTTGTTTCTTTAGGTGTAATATGATGTTGTATTAACTAAAATGAGGAAAATCTCTTATATGCGAACTGTTTCCTCGTATATCATGTTTCATAATCTGATACTGATTGAGTACAATTTAAGAAACTTAAATCTATTTTGTTTGCCTTGAACCATGTTTAAATCACTGTTTTAAAACCCTGGCCCGGTTGGTTTAACGGTTTAACTAGGACTCGAAAGCCTTTACATTATTCCTATTCACCCCAAACCCTAGAATTTGAGATGATGATTGGCTAACAATTGAAAGTTGGGATGTTGGGGCTTTTGAAGAGAAAGTGTTGGTGAGTGTAATGGTGGTGATGAAATTGATTTTCAATGAGTAAATCGATCGAAAATCGAAAAATACTGGCAGCGGCAACAACCGGCGATTGGCGAGGCTGACGGGGTGACGTGAGGTGGGTTTCTGTTGGAAGGAAGAAGAGAGTATTTTCGAGGTGTTGGGGAGGGTTGTCGACACCAGTGTCGGTGAGATCTAGCCTAAAGTATTGACGTTGGTGTTGGTGAGATTTGGCCGAAATCGATTTGATATCAGCCAGATCTTGGGTAGATTTTCAGGTGAGTGGACCCAAGGGACGATTGAGGTTACATTTGGGGTGTCGTCGTGGCCATCTAGTTGTCGGTCGATTTGTATTTGGGGTGTGTTTGCTAAATTTCAAACTTATAGAGACTTAACAATTTTTAGGGGTGTATTTGCTAAATTTTAAAATTTTTTGTTAGCTAATTTAACCAATGGTCAAATCGGTAAAACCGGTCAATCTGGGACCCAGAAACATTGCCGGGTTTCATCCTGGGTTGGGTTTTAAGACATTGGTTTAAATTACTCGCCTAAAAATTGTCATTTTATCATGTGCCTTTCCTCGAAGTTGCAGGAGGGTGAGAAACAGAATGTCATTATATACATGAAAGGATATTATGGGTCTGTAGAACATTTTTGGTGGCAGAACATTGTATTCTCTTTCTTTTTTATAAGGTTTTTTTAATCAAATATCTGTGATGCCCTTCTATTATATCCATCAATTTCATACCTTTCCAAGATTCTCAAAAGGTAACCTGTTCTAGCTAATTAGCTGGGCACGAATATTTTTCTTTTGGGATTGTTGGTTGTCAAGTTGCTGTAAATATAGTGATTTCTAGGATACTTCCTAATGGCATTTTGCTGAAACTTAAGCCATTCAATTCAAGTAAACCTTAATATTAGAATCCGAATCAAAATTAAGAATCCAATTTTTATATAACCAGTGTTTTTTTTTTGATTTAGCATCTATGATATTCATATTTGTGGAATGAAATGGCTGACCCAGAAAAGAGAACAGGAATGGCCAATGGAAATGAATTGACTTTCTTTCTATGGTCTAACTGACCGTGTAGCATATATATTTCAAGTTTTTTTTAACATTTATAAAACTCCATGATTCTTTGCTTGCTACCTTTTTGTTTCCATGGAATTTATACCGTGCCCACTTTCCTAAAAAGTTTTGGTGGACCTCTGCAATTCACATCCATTTTCTCCGCAACCTGCAGTTTCACCATTAAATACACCTCCATGCACCCTACCCTTTTGCAAGTTCAGGCATAGATTTGGTTCCTTTCTTTCATAATCCCATTCTCCCTCTTGAACCTCCAAATTTAAGTCTCAGAACATCTTAACACTGTTATTGCTTCGATGGCATCAAAGAGAATTTTGAAGGAACTCAAGGACCTGCAGAGAGATCCACCAACTTCATGCAGTGCAGGTACCGGAACTTGCAAAATTCGGATTAAGCTTCATTATAACAACTAGCTAAATATTGCTTAAAATGCTTCATTTCAGGTCCTGTCGCTGAGGATATGTTCCATTGGCAAGCAACCATCATTGGCCCAAATGATAGTCCCTATGCTGGAGGTGTTTTCCTTGTGACAATCCACTTCCCACCTGATTATCCTTTCAAACCTCCAAAGGTTTAATTCATATACTATTAAGTCTTTCTTCTTTCTGCAGATTTGATTATTTGTATAGCATCACCCTGAGCTCTTCCTTTTAATGAATGCTCTGTAGGTTGCTTTCAGAACCAAAGTTTTCCATCCAAATATTAACAGCAATGGAAACATTTGCCTGGACATACTTAAGGAACAATGGAGCCCTGCACTCACCATATCTAAGGTGATAACGCTGAAGAACTCTAGTTAGTAACGTAAATATTTTAGTCCTGTTAGTAGATGTGGACAGCATTCAAACGTTAAGTTATAATCATGTTTTATGTATCACATAGCCTGAGTATGTTTTATAAATTAAAGGAATTAAGTGCTAGAAATCTGAAATATGTTGAGAGTGATTCTGCAGGTTTTGCTCTCTATATGTTCACTACTAACAGACCCAAATCCTGATGATCCGCTTGTTCCTGAGATTGCTCATATGTGCAAGAGTGACAAAGTCAAGTATGAATCAACAGCTCGGAGCTGGACCCAAAAGTATGCCATGGGTTAGACCCTAATTTGTCTCCGAATTTTTCCAACAGTTGAAAGAGTCCCACAGCCTTGCTCAGCCATTGATATGACTCAAGTTTTCTATGGTCAGGACTTGTAATCTGAGTCTTTTCAGGAATAAAATGCTTGACCACTTATGTTTTCAAGTTTTGGCTGTCTATGTAAAACACTGCTCAGTGGCCCCAGTCTGGTATGCATTCAAAATAATTGCAATATAGTTAAAAGGCTTGTAATAATCTATTATTTATTTAAAAAAATTTATCATTTTTTTTCTGAAAAGGTGTACCCATTTCCTAAGAACTTCCAAGTTCATGTTCAAAAAAGAAACCAAATCTTGGCTCTGGCAGCATGGGATTCTGTTAACATTTTGGTATCTAAACATATGTTAAGAAAATAATATCAAAGTCCCTGGCATGAATCATGATGGATTTCACAGGAATTCATGATCAATGTAAGAATGAAATACTGCAAAGTTTAGTAGAGTCGCAAGTTATTTCCATAGATTATTACAAATGATTTTAAACTCTGTTCACTTTTTATGTATCTGGGTTTAGAAATTTCATCAATGACTCTCCAGCCCATGTAATTTTACCTTGTGTTCTTTCTCCTGATAATGCTTCAATCCAGTTGGAACCAAAATCCTAGCCACATTCTCCTGCTTGACCAATTACTTCTCTTTTTTTTTTTCTTCTCTTTATCAAAGACTATGCAAATCTTCTGTTTCTATATATTTATTTATCATTATATTTTTTTTTGGTAACTGGGGGTGTCCAAGCTAACTTGCATGTATCTTAAATAATCACCTGAGGCTCTGAAGTTAATGATCGGATAATCCTCCAGTGATTACCCTTATTAGCAATCAAGGGGAATCAAACTCAAAACCTCTTGAGTAATACAACTAAGAGTCTCAGTTGACTTCCTGACTACCTAAGGGTTGGTTAAATCTTTCTTTTTTATTGCTTTTCTCCATATCATGAATCATTGTTATCTTTTAATCACTATTTTTCTAACTTGTGCACTCTACAAATTCTGATCAACTGGTGAGCTAATTTATATCTACATGTAGAGCTAATAGTCTCTACTATCCCCCATATCAGTTTCAGTCAACTTGAGGCACTTCTCTTCAACCAGTCAATTGACATTCTTTTTAACCTGTCACAAGTACTTTATTTGTTAGTTTAATGTTGATTTATTATTGGATTAGTTATGATGGCCCATCAGTAAGTCAAGGAAAGAATTAAAATCTCCCAAAACATCACATTCAGGATAGCTCAAGTTATAAATTACTTCAAAAATATACTTCTCTCCAAGTAAATTCAAACTCTTCTTCCTCAAGTTTTACTTTGACAGGACTCCATGCCTTCCTTCTGACGTTTCATCCATTCTTCACGTCAAAATTTTCCCTTTCTTCTAATTTCAGGTTTTGATTTTGCAATACCAACTTACCAACCACGACTTCATATAATTGACAATATCACAGATTCAGCCATCTCCATTGAATTATTATATTCTGCAGAAAACTTACATAATAATAGCATCACCAATATCTAAATTGCCATATAGTACCAATCATACTTTATATCCAAAATGTGGTCTATAATTGATGTGGTGCAGGGTCATAATCTGAACCAAAACTGCTGCATTAAATTGTCAACTTTATATCATATATAACCACCACTAGGAGGCTCGATGGTAAAAAAAAAAAAAGAGATTATCCAAGTTCTTGAGTTCAAGTTCCCCCAACGCTAATAAAAGTGGTCACTAGAAGATTATTCAGTCGGACTTTCAGAACCTCGAGAGATTAGTTAAGGTGCGTGCAAATTGACCTGGACACCTCCGGTGATTAAAAAAAAAAAAAGAAAGAAATTTACCACCTTAAAATATGTCGGAATTTACAGGGAGGAGACCCTTTTTCATTTTCTAGAAACTGAAGAAAAGCTTGTCCACTCCCCGTTAAAATTTTCCTGGAGTCACTGTCATTCTGCTATTTTCAGTTAGCTCTGTCGCTCAACTACCGAATCACAGTGGTTGATACATCGAATATGCTTACACAAATTGCATATGATTTCTGCAATAATTAAAACGATCAAAGACTTAATTATTATACTAATGATGATTTGTTTATTATACAAACTGCAACTTCTGCAAACTTTACAGGCGTCCATGATGATCTTTCAACCCAAATGCATGGCTCAGAGCTTGCTTTCAATATCCTGATCGAATAGTTCCAGTCTGGCTGATGCACGCTGATATATATTTTTATGAATAGAAGGTGTGGCAGCTGGCCTCACATTTGACCTTATTATAGTTTTTGTTTTCTGAAAACATTGTCAATGAAGGCATGAAGCCTCCCCACGTTGCCATTTTTGTTTTTTCGTTTTTGTTTTTGTTTTTGTAAAACATGTTGTATTATAGAATTGCTTAATCATTCATCCAAATGTGACAAAATATGATATTTAACACGTGTCATTCTACGATCAATTTGTCGGTTAATAAGGTGGCGGTTGCACGTGGGACGGGACAAAAAGAAGACATAGGACTAATTCAAAGTGGGAGATTAGTAATTAATTAGAATTAATTATGACCAATTAATTAATACAGTCAAAGTATGCCAAAGTTGTTAGCACTTGTCTTTCAAATAAGGGTCATCTTTTGTTCAACAAATTGATGGTAATTAATCCCAAAAATAGGAAAATTAAATAATAATTAATATTCTAGTTTATTGTCTTTTAACCACAAATATCTACCCCAATATTTATTTAAAATTGGTCCCCAATTAAATTAAGGTGGCAGTAATTAATTAATTAACAAATCTATGTGTTAATTTTAATTATTATGTGATTGAGGTTCCCAAAGACCATACCTTTCAGCTTTAATAAAGATTTATCTAATAATTTTATTTTATATAAAAGACATGGACAAATTCCATTGCTTCATCAAGAAATTAAAGACATGATCATCATAAACAAATTGACCCCACTAAATAAAAGGTTATATAATCATCATTAAGGGTTTTTTTTTTTTATATATAATTTAATTGCTTAATTTTGATTAAAATAATCCAACTTTTTTTTTTTTTTTCTAGAAAGATCTTCAAAAAATTTGGAATATCTAAAAGATAATTTCTGATAAAAATTTTAAAAGATGTCAACGATCAAATTGAGGTATAAAAATTCATTTTTTTTAATTTATAAAATAATGAAAAAATATTCTTATTTATTAATATATATATTAAAAATATAATTACAATTAAATTATTTTAAAATAATCTTCTCGGCCAACCCGCAATAACCGGTGATAAAATATTTAATGCCCCTCAAAGTGTGCCAAAAACGACCGGATAACACAGGTTTCCCGCGAAAATTGCCGGTGTTTTTAACGGTTTGAAACAAAATAGGCTCAAGCTCAACCCACTAAAAAATTCTTTTCACTTTCTGTGGAAATTATCTCTTCGTTGCCGACACTTTCTTCTCATTAATTCCTTTTTTTTTTTAATTTCTTTCAAATTATAAAAAAAAATTAAACCCATTTGCTTATCTAATCTTGTTTCGTCATTAAAGCACCATCTTTTTATTTTTTAAATAATTTCTTTTTTATCTTCTCCAAATACTGTTTCTCAGTTGTTGAACATTAGTTGCAGTAGGTGAGTTGATAATCTTTGGCGGCAATTTCATTTTAAAAACATGCGCTAGGTCTAGAGGAACAATGGTTACAAAATTTAGGTACAGTTTATTTGTCCTCTGGCGTTTAACTTATTCTTGATTCAAAGTTTTTAACGAGTTTTTGTTTTCGTTTTTTAATTCAAAAGCAAAGATTTTGTGGGATTTTTTTAAAGTTTAATCTCACTGACCGCATGTGTACTTTAATCGGATTTGTTTATAAGTTTTGAGTTTTGGTTGTTATAAGGGAATCTGTTGATGGGTTTGATTTAAAATTTATAAATGGTGACTGAAAGTGCTCGGCAATTGGACTAAATGGTGGAGTATTATATTTCTTAAAAATTCTTCTTGTTGCAGTGTATGAGATGATCGTTTCAAGAACTGGGAAGATTGTAGGTGAGGAAAAGCATGCAGATTATCTGCAAATTATAGGATAGACATTGAGGTTTTGTGATTAAAAATAAAAAATAAAAACAATGCCTGTTGAGGAGGTGATAAAGACAGATGAGAAGAGGAATGTGTTGGTTGGGATTCGAATCGATAACTATAGTAGAGATCTTCTCAGCTGGGCACTTGTGAAAGTTGCTGAACCAGGAGATTGTGTGGTTGCCATTCATGTTTGTCGAAATTCCGGTGAGTTGTTACAACTTTTTATTAGTAGTTGATCAATTAAGACTGATTGCTTCTTGTTTCTTAATTGGAATTGCTATGTGTCAATCAGATCAAGCTTCAAAGAGTAAGCCGTTATTGGATACTTATTTAGAAGTATATAAAGGCCTATGTTCTGCCAGAAAGGTTTGTGATTGTGCTTCTTTTTATGATCATTTGAAAGTGTTTGATAAAGATGAAAATTTTGATTATGGTGTCAAATATATGAGTTTCAGGTAGACCTTATAGGTAAAATCTTTTCAGGAAGTTCGGTTCGAAGAATTTTGGTTAGAGAGGCAAAAAACTATGCTGCTATAGCCCTTGTTGTGGGGATGAGCAGGAGAAATAAACTTGGGTAGGGGCAGATAGAAACTCTAAGTTTTGCATTAGTTTTCATGTTGTGTGATTCTTTTCTGATTACTCTAAACAGATTTCATTTTCAGTCGTTGGTCTTCTCCAGCTAGATATTGCACGAAAAGATTGCCTCCAACCACTGATGTTTTGGCCATCCACAATGGGAAAATTGTCTTCGGAAAGGGCAAAAACAATCACCTACTACCAGGTTTCGTATCCTTGTCATGGTAAAAAAAAAATCCTAAAGTAGATTGATCGGAAGTACTAATAGTTTTTCTGATTATATCAGGTGTCAATGGAGATCCAAGACCAAGTCTTTGCTCAACTGAAAATATTAGTCCTAGAGAAATCAATTCTGAATTTGGTGATTCTGAAGCTGATACTGAGAAGTCCAGTTTTGCACTGTGTTTGAACTCAGAAGATGAAACAAGAGACAGTGATACAGATTCCAAGTACAGAAGTATAAGTTTCGGGAATGATCGGAGGAGGATGTCTTTGAGATCTTCATTTTTAGCGGAGGATATTATGGAACATAGACCTGGTTGGCCTCTGCTAGCCAGAGCTAGTTTAGGAACACTGGAGGCGAAGCTTGCTAGGAACTTGTCTGTGGTACAATGGGTTATGCACTTGCCTGATCGTTCCCCGCAGCAAAGTCCTCGGTTTTCGACTATTGAAGAGAAGGCGCCCTTGGAAAGACAGATGAGTTGCATTGTGGATGAGAGTATTAGGCATAGTTCATTAGATGAACTACGAGATGGCTTGAGGATTCTCCTCGAAACAAACTCATCTAGCTTTAAATGGTTCAGTTATGAGGTTCTGAAATCTGCTACTTCTCAGTTCTCCTCAGGTTTTTACCTCTAATTTTGTCCCTAACAGTACCAAGTTTTTCCTTTATACTTCTTATGCATAATTTTTCTTTCTAATTTCCCGTTTCAAAATAACAGAAAACATGATTGGGAAAGGAGGGTGTAACCGCGTGTATAAGGGGATTCTTCCGGATGGCAAGCGTGTGGCAGTGAAGATTATGCAGTCATCCAGAGAAGCTTGGAAGGATTTTGCCCGTGAAGTTGATATCATCTCATCGGTGGAGCATCGACATATCACTCCTCTGCTGGGGGTCTGCATTGAAGATACTGATCTGATTTCTGTTTATGAGTTCTTGTCGAAAGGAAGCTTAGAAGAATACTTACATGGTACAGCTTCAAATGAGGTCTATAATTTCCTTTTCCTTGACAAAAATTGCTTTAAAACACAATAATCCGAGTTAATGTGCAGGTAAGCTTAAGGATAAACAAGTTTTGTCATGGGAAGTGAGATTTAAAGTAGCTGTTGGGATAGCTGAAGCATTAAATTACCTGCACAATGAATGTTCAAGGCCTGTAATTCATCGTGATGTCAAGACTTCAAACATTCTTCTATCAGACAGATTTCAGCCTCAGGTACTACACCAGACCATTGCAGATTATAATTACAATTGTTCAATTAGAAATTTTTGTCACAAATTCATTACATCATGATTATGGTTTCAATGTGACAGCTATCTGATTTCGGCCTTGCTATTTGGGGACCGACAAGTTCATCCTATCTGACTGAAGTAGACGTGGTCGGAACATTTGGGTATCTTGCGCCTGAATATTTCATGTACGGTAAAGTCAGTGACAAGATTGATATCTATGCTTTTGGTGTAGTTCTACTTGAATTGTTATCAGGAAGAAAACCTATTGGCTCTGAAGCTTCCAAGGGCCAAGAGAGCTTGGTTATGTGGGTAAGTTGCCTTCTCTAAAACATAAAATATCTTCAACTTTTTACTAGTGATGTCCAATACCAACACTTGCAAGCATCTGGATTCAGGCTAAGCCAATGATAGAGAATGGGAATGTGAAGAACCTACTTGATCCTAATTTGAAAGGAAAAATAAATGAAGTCCAAATGCAGAGAATGGTTCTTGCAACTACACGTTGTATCACCAGGGCAGCTCGACTTCGCCCCAAAATGAGAGAGGTAATTCCATTAAAGTCTCAACAGTATTATTGTTGAACTTACCTTGGAAATATTTCAGTTAGTGTCAGGGTGAAACTTTCTAAGCACTTTTATTTCCTCCAGGTTCTGAATCTCCTGAAAGGTGACACAGATTCTGCTAAGTGGGTGAACTCACCAATCAAAGAAGAAAATGAAGATTTAGATAACCAGGATGTTAATGATGATGAAGTCTATCCACATTCAAGTGCAGAGTTACATTTGGGACTAGCATTCCTTGATGTTGATGATGATTCAACATCATTTAGCAGTCTTGACAGAAGCAACATTTTGTCCTTTGAGGACTACTTGAAAGGAAGATGGAGCAGATCATCAAGCTTCAATTAGCATCACTTTCATGCGCAAATTTCACTTGTTTTTAGCCAAAATTTACCGCAAGACTTGAATTGTGAGACATGTTTGTATCGGTAGTTTTGTACATAGGAAAAGAGATAGGAAACAAATAGCACCCAGTGTTGAGGTGGTCTATATTAAGAAAATTTACCTGTACAATTTTATATTAAGAAATCTAGAATAACGTTGTATATGGCAATGCACATATGTCAACTTGAGGCAAATCGTAATTGCAAGCACTAGAGATTTCAATACTCGTATTACTCTTGAAAAACATTCTCTTGAAGAGCCACTCTTGATCATCAAACTCAAGGCGATCCTTGTGAGAGTTGAGAGGTACCCAATTCACAGTTAGTTCTCTATATAGAGACTTTTCACACTGCAAGCGAGTTTCCGATGATACACAATTTGGCCTAGCAAAGGAGCAACAACAGCCATATTTTTGTTTAATGTTGCAAGTGCTGTCAGAAGAGTCATATAGTAGAAAGTCGAAAATGGGCCGATTTAATTCCTCAGTAAGACTGCTCCTCTCTAGCTGTTGGTTTTCATATCCTCCAATAGAGTCAATACTTTTGTTTATGTTTCCATTATGTTTGTAAGTAAAGTAGTTTTCCTCCCTAATCTCCCCTTCCTCCAATTCCTCCTCCTCTTCCTTTCTCCTCCTTTTCTCCTTCTTTCTCCTCTTCTCGGTTGCTGCTCTTTCTTCTCTCCTGGCCTTTACAATACAAGGAAAAAAAAAAAAACACATTCAGTCAGGTTAATGGAAACTCAGAATTTGCAATGAAATCCAACTTACCCAGAAATGACACAAGAATAATTCACCCACATAAGCATTAGTATTTAATGTATATTATGATCAAGAAATTCAGCCAAGTGTGCCTATATATATCAAACTCCATTTCATTAATTTATTATAAAGTTCTGAATCTGTAAGAAAATAACTGTAGATGTCATTAAAGGTAAGCATAAAGTGATTATATATAGCAATACATTCTTTCACAAACAATGCCATGCATGCCCTAAAAGAGAGGCGTGGCTCACTCCATTTAGCAGGTAGTCCGGTTGAGGAAATGGTAAGCACCTTGCCATTGTTGAACACATTCACCACTCAAGCAACGTTAAAGAACAACAGTTATACCAAGAAAAATCAAGTGTAGTCGATCAGTTTAAGCTATATATGCACACAGAAGAAATGAAACATAGAAACTGATAAATGATTCGGGAGATTTTGATGACTTAAAAATCAACATGCAGCTAATGCCTTTGTATTAACATATGGATTCTCATATTTTAAGAAATGATATTAAAGGTTTATAATTGATTATATTTATGTGACATCTCTTTATGTTGGTTTTGTTGGAGTAAAATATGTATTTGGAAGTGGAAGCTCGCAGTTTTCTAATTTTCTTTTGATGTACATAATTTGTGTGACTAATGAAATATGTGTTATTAACCACTCTTGGATGGTTGGGTGAGGTGATATGGACTCTTGAATGTATTAATCAATAGGTCTTGAATTCGATTCCTCTTAGTTGCTAATAGGGGTGGTTACAGAGAGTTTAATCGATCGTTAATTTCAGAGTCCTCGGGGATTAGTTGAGGTGCACAAAAGCTGGCTTGAACACCCCTGGTCACCAAAAAATTAAATAAATAAATTATGTGATATTGTTAAATTCTACCTCTATGTTCGGATCTATTATTGTTATTAAATTTCACCTCTATGGCTGGATCTATTTATTATTGTTAAATACTGCCTTCATGGCATCTGTTTATTCTTGTTAAATACAACCTATATGGTTGGATCTGTTTTTATTAAATTTTCGATAACCAATGTTAGTAATTATGCTTCCATCTTATATATGATAAATGAACTTGAAGTTCCACAAATAAATATCGTTTTAGAACTTGAAGTTTTAAATACTGATTACAAACATGAAGTTTGTAAAACAGAGACAAAAAATGGACCTGAAGTTCCACATCATGAAGATGAAGTTCTATAAACATCCTTACTAATGTAATTTTTTTTTTTAAGGATGGACTTCTAAATTGAGACATCAATATCCGGTAATGGTGCAGACATTTGTATAGTAGACAGTGTAACAACGCACACCATCCTTCGGGATAGAAAATATTTCTCAAGTTTGACCTTTTCTGAGGCTAAAATAAATATCATGTCAGGATTTGCAAACATAATTGAGGGCTTCAGAAGAGCAACACTCTTGTTACCAAGCGGAATTAAATTAAGTATCTATGATGCTTTATATTTTAGCAAATCCAAAAGAAATTTGCTTAGTTTCAAAGATATACGACTTAATGGATACCACATTGAAACTTTAAGTGAAAAGGATGGAGGGTTTATATATATCGCTACTAATATTTCATGCTAGAAGCATGTATTGGAGAAACTCTCTGTTTTCTTATCAGGGTTATATTACACATTCTTGAAGAATATTGAAATCTATGCAGTTATGAACCAGAAGTTCATTGATCCTGAATTTTTTAAAATTTGGCATGACCGTCTTGGTCACCCATGATCTATTATGATGTATCGGATCATAAAAAACTCACATGGACATCCATTGAAGAACCTGGACATTTTGTCACCTAATGATTTCTTTTCAGGATTATATTACACATTCCTGAAGAATATTGAAATCTATGCAGTTATGAACCAAAAGTTCATTAATCCTGAATTTTTTAAAATTTGGCACGACCGTCTTGGTCACCCATGATCTATTATGATATATCAGATCATAAAAAACTCACATGGGCACCCATTAAAGAACCTGGACATTTTGTCACCTAATGAGAGTGCTTATATTGCTTGCTCATAAGACAAATTGGCACTTAAGCCATCCATCACTAAAGTTGGTCTAGAATCCCCATCATTTTTGCAAAGGATTCAAGGGGACATATGTGGACCTATTCATCCACCAAGTGGACGTTTTAGCTATTTTATGGTATTGATTGATGCATCGGCACGATAGGCACATGTTTGTCTACCATCTACCTGTAATGTTGCCTTTGCTAGATTGTTGGCACAAATTATTAGATTACTGGCACACTTTCCAGATTACCAAATTAAAGCAATATGCTTGGATAATGTTGGTGAGTTTATGTCAAAGACATTTGATGACTATTGTACAGCAATGAGAATTAATGTTAAGCACCCAATACCACATGTACATACCCATAATGGTATGGCGAAGTCATTTATAAAACGTATCCAATTAATTATAAGAATTTTGCTATTACGTACGCAATTACCAACTTCTGCCTAGGCTCGTGCTATTTTACATGCTACGGCATTAGTTTGCCTAAGACTCAATGCATATCATCAATACTCTCCAATACAGCTCGTATTTGGACATTAGCCTAATATATCCCATTTAAGAACTTTTGATTGTACTGTGCATGTTCCAATTGCACCCCTTCAATGCACCAAAATGGGACCTCAATGTCGTCTAGGAATATATGTTGACTATGACTCACCATCCATCATCAGATATCTTGAATCCCTGATGGGTGATCTGTTTATCGGACGTTTTGCGGATTGCCATTTTGATTAGACAATATTTCCTCCCTTAGGGAAAAGGGTAAAGCCTCATAAAGTAAGGCTTGAAATTTCTTGGAAAGTAAGGCCTTTTGTTTTTCTAGGAACAATATTCTTGGCTCCAACTGGCTTGCCATGCTTCTAGTGTGTAACAGATGAATCGATCGCTGCCCGTATGGATTTTTCATTGGCAACATCAATCCTTGCTGGTGTATTGACAACATGAATAGGTGCCAATGTTGGCAGTACTAGGATAATAAATAATTTCACATCTTCTAAATTAACTCCAAAAAAGTTAATAGTCCCTAAAAGGACACAAGCCCCTGAAAAGGAACAAATCTCTGAAGGAATGCAAGAACATATAAATGAAGAAATTTCTATAAACTATGTTCATAGTAAAGAAATGTGGAATCGTGAAACAACTATTGTCAATAACATATTCTCATACGCAGTAGCTACTGAAATTATGAATGATGAGTTTGAGACACGTTCTGTTGATGAATGTCGAAAGAGACATGATTGGCCAAAATGGGAAGAGGCAATTCTAACAAAATTAACCTCCCTAGCAAAATGTAATGGTTTTGGACTTGTAGTCCAAATGCCTGAAAACGTGAAACTCGTAAGATATAAGTGGGTATTCACAAGGAAACGGAATGAGAAAAATGAGATTGCTAGGTATAAGGTCAGACTAGTGGCCCAAGGCTTCCTGCAAAGACCTCGAATTGATTTCGATGAGACGTATTCACCAGTGATAGATGCTATCACATTTCAATACTTAATTAGTTTATCAGTCTCAAAAAGACTTGATATGCGTCTCATGGACGTTGTCACTGCATATTTGTATGGTACACTGGATACTAATATCTATATGAAAATCCCTAAAAGATTCACAATACTAGAAGCAAATAAAAGGAACATTATTCAATAAAATTGCAAAGATCGTTATATGGGTTGAAACAATCAAAATGAATGTGGTATAATCGTCTCAGTGAATATCTGATAAATGAAGGATACATCAATGATCCTGTATGCTTGTGTGTCTTTATAAAAAGGTCCAAATCAGGATTTGCAATTATGACAGTTTATGTCGGTGAATGAACTTAATTGAGACTCTTGAATAGCTCACAAAAGTTGCTGAGTATTTAAAAAGAGAATTTGAAATGAAGGATTTAGGGAAAACAAAGTATTGTCTCAACCTGCAGATCTAGCATTGTTGAGATGGAGCTTTGCTTCATCAATCAAATTATATTGAAAAGATTCTAAAATGATTTAATATGGATAAAATTCACCCCTTGAGTACCCCAATGGTAGTTCAGTCTTTTGATCCTAAAAATAATCAATTCCGTCCTAAAGAAGACGACGAAAATATGTTTGGTGTTGAAGTACCGTATCTAAGTGTAATATGTGCATTATTATATTTGACATAATGTACAAGACCAACATAGCATTTGTAGTGAATCTATTAGCAAGATCTAGATCTACACCAACTCGCTGAGATTTGGATGAAATTAAACATGTCTTTCGTTACCTTAGTGGAACAAAGGATTTAGGATTATTTTATCCAAGGAAACATGTTAATGATCCTGAATTAGTTGGTTATACAGATGCTGAGTACCTTTCTGACCCTCACAAAGCCCACTAGCAGACGGGATATGTTTTCACTTACTATGGTACTGCAATTTCGGTGTCATTTTGATTTATCAAAGTAATCTATATCGCACCATATTACTATGGTATGAGAAGCACCTTATAATTCTCCACAAATATTTTTTATTTACCAAAGTAATTTTTTATTTACATCTGAGCCCCTCCTCAAGTACCTATAAATTGAAATTTGAAAGCAATAATAGACAATTTTTTTGAGAAAAGTCTGTGGAAATTGGAATCTCTGTGAACCAATCGCTCTGTCAGACTCGATTGGTAAGTCCATTTTGTTTTTAACCATCGAATGTTGCCATTAGTATTTTTTTCTTTTTAGCTTTTTTAGGGTTTTTTTAGTGATAATAATATCTGTACCTCCCTTTATATACAAACAAATTTTTCACTTCTTGTATAAACCCATCTCTTAGTTTCTAGGGTTTCAGTTTCAGATCAAAAATAGTGATTTCATCGTTACTTCTATGTATATTCAACCTTAATTGCATCGTGTAGTTCTAGCCATTCCAAGATTTGCATTTTTTTGTGGTAAGTTTTGTGTTTTGGTTTTGACTGAATTTTAGTTAGTTAGAAACCAAGTATCGTTTTGGGGTCTGAGATTTGAAATCTCCTGTGGGGTTCTGACTGAATTGGTTGATTTCGTTTTGTTTTTTGTAGTGTAGTCGCTTAGTAGCTGGGTTTTGGTTGATTTACTGTTTTAGTTGCTTCAGCGATTTTTTAGGTCTGCTTATTTGTGTTTCTGTGTTTGTAGTTTTGATACTGGGATTTGCTAAGAGGAGTCAACAAGTGAATTGAGTTCATATTATCATCTGGGTCACTTTCAGAATTACAGATTTATCATTGTTTGGCTTCAAATTATTGTGTGAGTGAAGTTCAAGGTCGCTATTTTATTGTGAGTTTGCTAGATTTATTTATTTTGTACTTGAAATGGACGACGGGGAGCTTGATTTCTCAAATCAAGAAGTTTTTCCAAGTACAAACATGGGTGAGATTCCAAGCAGTTGCTCAATGGACAGTTTCTTCGATGAACTTTTGAAGGATACTCATGCTTGCACTCACACACACACTTGCAACCCACCAGGACCTGATTCCTCTCATACACATACTTGTTTTCACGTACATACTAAAATCGTTGCTCCTCCTAGTGAAGACAAGACATCCACTGATGACACTGCTGAATCTTCTGAAAAGAAATCAAAAAAACGTCCCTTGGGTAATCGTGAAGCTGTTAGAAAGTATAGGGAGAAAAAAAAGGCACGGGCAGCATCATTGGAGGATGAGGTAGTGAGATTAAGGGCTGTGAATCAGCAGTTACTGAAGAGGTTGCAGGGTCAGGCTGCAATGGAGGCAGAGATTGCAAGGCTTAAGTGTTTGCTTGTGGACATTCGGGGCAGGATTGAAGGGGAAATTGGATCCTTTCCTTATCAGAAATCAGTCAATAACATGAACATGACTAATCCTAATTTGAATGGTGCATATGTGGTGAATCCATGTAATTTGCAGTGTGATGATCAGGTTTATTGCCTTCACCCGGGACTGGAGGGTAAAAGTGGAGAAGGCATGGCATTGAATGGACAAGGCTACAATGGTTGTGAGTTTGAGAGCCTGCAATGTCTGGCGAATCAAAATTCAGGGATCAAGGACCTTCCTGTTTGCGGACTTGGGAACATAACCTCCAATGTCAATTCTTCTGGGACAACTAAGAGGAAAGGTGAGCTTAGATTGCCTTTTCATTTTTGGGTTCATTAATAGGATGGATAAAGAGTAGTTTACTTGGTTGATTTACTTATTTATTGTAAGATTTGCTTAGCATTTTCTGTCGACTTATATGATCTGATATCTGCTGCTTGTCTCATTGTTGACTTATATATTAGTAATTGGGTCCTGGACTCTTTGGCAGCAATGATCTGTGGATCTGAAATTTCACCAACTAAATAGAATTTTTTTAGGTGGTATGTATGAAGATTCATGTTGTGGTAATGCTAGATGATTCTTGAGATTATGATATGATAGTTGATTAGTTGTAATGGATTTTGCTAAGTGGCTAGAGACCTATTTAGAATTTCTATGTTGTTGCTATATTGTGGTATATCATTGAATAAAATTATCCTGACCGAATAATCCTATTGCTTACAGATTTAAGGCTTGTGCAACTCTTTGCTTGTTATCCTTTTTATGCTCTGATCTCTTATCATTATGGCATTTATCTTTTTAGGAGGGGCTCGTGCTGCAGCAACAGATTAAAGGGCTGATCAGATGGCATTATCCTCACTCACAAGGGTACATATGTCTTACAATAAGTAGTTTTGTCAACTGCAACATCAGCTTCCTCAGGTTGCTTTGTGTTCTTTATTTTTTGTTTCCCTTTTTTTAATTTACCCGCTGCTGGGTTCTTCAAGCTGGCATGTCTTGTCTATATTGTGCTTAGCTTTAGATAGCTTTGCTGCTCTTCCTAGTTGTTTAGTTGGTTTATGGTCCGAGTGTAGAAATGTTTTGTAAAGCAAGAAATTGATGGGTCTGGACGCTGGAGTAGAAAAATCTGACAGCAAAAACCAACTTACTGGTTTTCTATTTTCTACAAGACTTAGTTCGATAGAGCCTAATCCTCGTAATTCTCCATGCATGAGTATAATATCAATAATTTTATGTGCTACTTTTTATGTATTGCTCTTCTGATTCTTTTTAAACCCTGATTGATGCTTATGTGGAGTTTTTCTTTCACTCCTTTTCCTTCATTAAAGTTTGGTTGGGCTTTTGTAGTAGTCTTTCTAAGATATACCAGTTCTTGATTGATGAATTACAGAATTTAGGGGAGGTGGGATGCCTTTTGAGTGATGTTTTCCGTAGTGTAAGCTGTGAAGAGGTGAGTTAGTTACAAATTTTACTCTGCCGAGCTTGCCCTCTAAGAATTTTGCTTACTAGAGGATGCCTGCATTTTTATCTGGAAGGAAGCATAGATGCAACTGCCTTGTGAAGTTAGTAACGGTTCTTCTCATCATAATTGGGACACAAAGGGGGAGAATAATATTTTTTGTGTTGCCTTTCCATTGCTGTCATTGTTCACCACCAAAATAAGTGTTTCAGATGGAAAACTTATGAATAGATCATGAATTTGTTTTTGGGAACATCCCTTTATTACATTTCTTACATAAGTTCTGTTTTCTAGTACTTATATTAAGTGAAAGTTTTTCTTGGATATACCATCTTGATCAAAAAATGATTTTCAATATTGAAGCCTTGGGAATCCGGTTAGCGCTAATTCTGAAACATTACAACAATTCTATACCAACTTGTTAGGCGTTTGATCATTTCTTTGCCCATCAAAGTTTATTCTATGTTCTTAAAATAGATCTTGACAGTGCTCTGGAGTGTGGAGCACCTCAAGTTATGAAATGAATCTTTCCAGTTCAAGTCTCAAGAAATCAATAAATAAAACATTGGTTCAAATCTTTTATTCTCTTCCCACTAAAAGAAAAATCAAGGATAAACCTTACTCTTTTGCCACTGAAGGTGCTTTCCTTCGTCCTCCAACCAAGCAAATCTACCAAGATATGGATAATTCTATAGTCCCAGCAGCCAATCTTGAAAAATAATACTTTTAAAGTTCATATAGTCAAATCCTGGAATACCACTATCATTCAAATTATGACACATAATTATTTATATCATATCATGGTCCGTCACATTAAAGAAACCACAATTTTACACCGACTGCTTTCAATAAGTCTCAGATATAGTCAGATTCCTCTCCGCGTGCTAACACAAGGACCAAAGAAAAGAAAAGAAAAGGGACCATCATGGAAGATCCCTGAATTTAAGAAGTCTAACAAGGCAAGCACAAAATACTTTTACTGCTTTTTAACATGGCCCTACCCTCCTTTGCTTTTGTGTCAAAATCATCAATTCACTAATTTTAATTAGCTCCCAAATGGAAAGCTAAAACGAAAAATAATAACACGGGGTTGACAAGTTGTAATATGCGTGCTTTATTGATTTAAGCATTCTGATCAAGTTAAAAATAAAAACACGGTTTTTGAAAAGACTGCCTACTAACCCATGGACCTGATCTTTGACTAGTTCTCAGCTGCTTGCAAGTCGTCATCATCGCGATAAATGCTCTCAGTCATCTGCCAGACCTGAACAGTATTATCATCAGCTACACTGGAAATTACCCATGGCTCATTTTTGTTCCATGAGAAATCTGATATTTTGGCCTTGTGACCTCCATGAGAAAATAGTAGCTCCGGAGGACCATCCTCAGCATCCAACTCTAGTTGCTCATCCCCAATCCTGAAGCATTAGTCAAATGAGGGTAAATTTCCACTTCCCAGGAAGGAGATATTCATATTCCATACAGAAAAAGCTTGTCGATGAATATAATCAAATTCAAAGTGAATAGGAGGACTATGGCAGCATTTGGAAAAAAGATAAATTTTCTATTGATCTTCACATTGCATGAGACCATTGGCAGAAATTGTAATCAAATAAGAAAACCAAGGCATGAGTCATAATAATAAAAACATTAACTTCAATGACAAAACAAATCAGCAATTCCGATGGATACAGCTTATTTTATCACATATACAGGATGAAGACAAGTTACTCCAAATAACAGGGTAAACAAGATATTTCTATCATAAATTTTGCCTCTTCAACAGCATAGGGTTTGGGGTTTATGTGATCAAAATATTTTATATTTTATGATCCAATCATGAAATAATTGCTGAAGGATCAAGTTGAGCAAGTGCTGACATTTGTTCATTCAGCCATCTTCAGTATTGTTACAGATCGTAAAAAATCTTAAATCAGTAAGAAATACCTGTTAAGGTCCCAAACCATCAGCCTTCTGTCATCAGCAGAAGAAGCCAGCACTGTTTCATGATTAGGATCCCATTCGACCTGGAATACCTCTTCTCTGTAATACACAGACGCAGCATGAGGAATGCCCTTCATCATTTTAGTGCAAGTATATTTCAAAAAACTGATTTGAGCCATTTTCGGCTAATGTACCAAAAAACACAACAAATATTATATTGATTTCAGACAAAACTGTTCAAAAAGAGTAAGGATGAAAAAGGAGACTTACATGATGCATCGGAGAATGCCAAAGAGCACTAGGCCCCAAAAGACAAGTTTTTATCCATTTATTTATAGTTAATTATAGTGGACTTTGCTACAGCTAAAGGTATATTCTCAAAAACTGTGGTATGTCCAACTGAATCAATTTAAGCAAATTGCAATCTCTAACTGTAATCTCTTCGTCGAAACAAAGTGAATGTTTTCTTTCAACAATAGCACATAAAAATGGGCATCTAAGTTTACTGCTATACTGTTCAGTAGAATGAAAATCACATTACTACCATCAGGTATTGCTTTATGACTACAGCAAATTAACAATTCATGAGACCAAGAAGACAAAAAGGAGAGACACTAATATTTAGACATGTATTGGAAGCAGGCTAATCACCAAATATATTTGATTTATCAGACACGTCTACCTCATAAATATATCCTGTAACTCAATCAAATGGCTTAAGTATGAACTTAAGGTGCAGCTAATACTGTAGATCAATTCAGCCTCAAATGGCCACTAAACAGTGTTTACGTGTTGACCAAAATGTTCAGTAGTTAAACTAGTATTTGCAGGCACATAAAAACCATCAAGTGATGAGAGTAATATTTAGTAAAAGACAATGGTTTCTTTAAACCAGAAGGGGGTTAATTTAGCAATATCAGATTCTCAAGGCCAAGTCATGCATCAACATCATTATCACATCTAGAAGCTACATTGACGTCTGTCAAACAGGGAAAGGACATACGTGTGGCTGCTTAGAACATGCAATGGTACAGTCAGCTTCCGCATATCAAATAAACAAACAGTAGTGTCTGAAGAAGCTGTCGCCAAGACCCATTCATTGTATGGATTAAATGATAGATAATTAACCTGGGACATTAGAGGAGAAAAAAAAAAGTGGAAGTTGTGATTAGAAATAATCCACTGAAAACTTATGTAAGAAATATCAGAGATATGTGGACAAAGAGGCAGTGAACAACAACCATTATATTTTTAGATAACAAAGATGAAACCAAAGGCAAAGCTGATACCATCAGTCAGTTCCCAGGCAAGCTAAAAACCATTTTGAGCATAAATTCACATGGTCCGTATGTAAAAATGTCATCACAAGCCAATACATCCTTGCTCAGGATCTCCATCATTCAATATCCAGTTCTTTCAAAGATGGGCCTAGAATACCTTAAAGGACTAAGTAGGGAGGAGGGAAAAGCCAACACTTTGCTATTATTAAGAAAAAACTTGTGCTTACGGATTCCTACCCTATTCCTACATGCCAAATTCTTTTAATTGGAAAATGTTCAACCACAAGATTTCAGGTCTTCCAAGTCCTGTTCATTGACCAGTGCTTCCATTATTTTCCTTAAGGGGATACTTGAACCATATAAAAAAAGCAACTTCTATCTTTATAACCTGCTTAGGTAACTAAAAGCATTACTTAATCATCTCATTTGGTTCTCAAAGCCAAATAACAAAATAAATTCACCAAATAAGTTTCAATCAGCACCAACTAGAAAGGTCAAGATAAAATTATATGCAAAGCATAAAGAACATTAATTGACAACTTTGGACAATTTATGGACATAAACAAAAATACAAGTGCAACAAGTTTAATATTGCTTCACCTCTTTCTCATGAGCTTTTACGCACTGCTGGGTTTGATTTGTACGCAAGTCCCAGATCATTAATTGACAATCATCACCCGCTGACCCAAATAGATTTTCATTTTTCAAATGCCAAGAAACATCTTCGACCACACTTTCATGAGCCTAAAAAAGAAAAATTACCAAGCACCATAATAAAACATCAAATGAAGCATTGTAAAAAAATCCTATTACTTTGCACCAACAAACAAAAAGGAAATCCAGATATTACCTCATAAACATGCAAAGCATCAAGCACCTTATCTGGACCCAAAGCAGACACATCCCACAAACATATCTTATGATCATGAGAACCACTCACAAGATAACCTTCCTTAAAGGGACTCCAAGACAACCCATAACCTTCCTTGTCATGACCCCGCAACTTCAGATCAGGTTCACAACCGTCTTGCTTCTTTTCTGCCTGCTTGTTACAATCAAACAAGTACACCTCACAACTGCTAGTCTTGGCACCGACAAGATTGGGGTTCTGCGGCATACACCGTGCTCTATTTACTTCCCCGTCAACACGTATCTTCTGTGATATCTCCACCTATCCAACCAAACATTTTCAGTAGAAAGTCACTTAAATCAATTTTTTTTTTTTTTTTTTTTTTCTGAAAACATCCTACACAAATGTGAATTAGATATTATACTTGTTCACATCTGCAGCATTTGATAATTTCAGCTAATAATTTCAATGAGAAAGTAACATCCACAAGATAGCATATTCCTTAACATTAGTGTCTTTAACAGGTGACATTTCAGCTAGTAATTTCATCAAGCACCCACCGTCCTAAAAAAAATGGCTCAAAAACGAAAAACAAGCAAGCGGAGCTATTGCACCCATAGAAACATTATCCGCACTTTACAAAGCACATGCAGTATTAAGATTTTAAAATGACTTTCTTATTTATTTTCAACAAACTTTCTTTTATTATTATACTTTTTCATTAAATTAAAGATTAATCTACTTATTTTTTGTTGGAATTACAAAAATACATATGGTAAAATTTAACTTTTTAGAAATTTAATGGTGTGAGCACTTAGAAAATGAGAGTAAAGATCAGTTGAAAATAGCCCCGTTCCAAACAAATTTGGGCTAGTGATTTCATCAAACAGTTAATGCCCACAAAATATCACCTAAAATAAAGTCCAAAAAATCATATAACAAAATTTTATCAACGAAAAAATTTTCAATTTTGCCATCAATTTACTCAACTTGACTATTCTAAACACCCAGAAAACGTTTCTTTTAAACAAACAGAAACTTATAACACCTTCAGCAAGACATTTCATCCAACAGATTGATACTCATAACAATATAACTCCCAAAATAAAAAAACAAAAGTACATATAATCAATTAAACCACCTTGGGAATAACGGGATTTTCAGTTTTGCCATCGATGTTAGATTCAGACTCCTTGGTGGGAAGCACAGCGTCGGCAATCATGAGAAAGTTTGGGTTATCATCGGAGGTGTGGGTCCCGAGCACAAGCTTGTGCACGCAGAAAGTGGGGTCCGCCGGATACGGTTGCGGAGACGAAGATGGGACCCAGTGAACGGTGAGTGAGGGCCACTCCAACGGGTGAGAGACGATCAAATCGTACAGGAACGGAGTGTTCTTCTTCCATACAGTGAACTCCTCTTCCACCTGATCCAAGCCTGCATCTTGATCATCTGCTGCCATTGTTGTAGTTTCTGTTAGTATTCTTCTTCTCCCAGCCAAAATTACTGTTTTCCCGCCAAATTGATCTGGTGAAGACGAGGGTTTTAGAGGGTAAAGTTTCTTCGGAGAATTTATAAAGAAAGAAGAGATGTAAAATGGGCCAAACGGAAGTCCAGCCCAAAAAGAGTCATTGGGCAAAAGTTGAAGCCCAATCAGGCCCATTAGATTAGAGTAGGACCATAATTTCGAAAGCCAAAAAAATAAAATAAAATACGGGGGTTCAAATGAATTTTACACTAAATTTCCTTTAAAAGACAATATCTTAAATTAAAAAAAAAAAAAAAAAAAAAAAAAAAAAAAAAAAAAAAAAGGTTGGAAGTTAGAATAAATTGGAACCTCCAACGATAGTCTGATGGTAAAAGAGTAAAATGAGGTTTCATAAACTCCTAAGTTCGAGTTCCTCTAGGCACTGATAGGGGTAACCACTAGAGCTCTTATCTGTCTGGTAATTTTTAAGTTCCCATAGATTAATTGAGGTGCATACAAGCTGGTCCAGACATCCTTAATGGTAAAAAAAAAAAAAAAAAGAATAAATTGGTTGGATGAATAGTGGTGGGGTGTTTGGCAATTGGCATTGATTCCTTGGAAGTAGGAACTTTGTAACTTGAAGATCATTTCTCCAATTTTGGATCACTATTTATGTAGGCGGACAATTATATCAATGTAGAGTGATGTGATTAGTTAAGAGATTTCTCGTAAACCCTAAAAGCTTGGCTTAGAGTGAGGGAGTTCATTCAGCATTGACAATGGCTTAGGTTCGAGTCTTCATTGCGATGGCTCAAAATCATTGTAATTGTCAAAATATGTATATGTATATGTATATCTAGAACTACAATAAGATCTTAGTAGACAACCGTATAAAAAATTTTCCTAGTATAAAAAACAAAGACTGATGTGATACAGTCCATCTTGTTAAGACTTTTCCAATCTCATAAAGAAAGAGATGGGGGTGATAATGACAAATTAACAACTTCGGAGTGCAATTCCTTCCTGGAAACCCAAAGGATTAGGCAAGATGGATGGGCAGTGTACTCCATTTCCAGGATATCCTCTTCCTGTTATTATCATACAACAGTGACTTTCTAAGTCAACACAAATCTCTTTCAAACTGAAATGGCTGGATTATCATTCTCCATCTCAACATTTTATATGGCTGTTATCTAATCTTATCTAATCTAATCTCCATAAATGTTTCAATTTTATATGATTTTTACAATTTTTTTTTTTTTTTTTGATAATCAGGGGGTCCAGATTGTTGGATATGATGTATACTTTTTTTAATTTACTAATATTTGGGTTTAGGTCGGGTTAAATTTAAATAAGCTCAAATGGGGTTAGGGTTAGGTTTTCTATTGTTAGTATCATGTAATAGTAAGAAACCTAATGAGCATGTGAAAAAAAAATTGAGAATGAGAGTTAATGAACAATTTTATAACCTCGCAAGTGCACAAATCGCTCTCGTAGTCTAGTGTGCAAAAGCAAGAGTCGATCTCACAGAAATTTGTAAGCAATTTATTAATCTTAATAACTATGCTTCAATTAAATGTAAAAACAAAACTTAATAATGAAGAATTAAGAAAGATCACTTTAAAAGCAACAATTGAATAAAACTAAAATTAAACAACTATTAAAATTATCTAAAACCCAATTGACCAAAACCTTGGGCTCCAATTTCACCATAATTATCCAGCTCTATGTCAAACATCTCTATATTGTTTAATCAATTCAGTCTCAGGGTTCGCATTCACTAAATCAAGGTATTACTGTAAGATGTTTGGGATTAACCTAGTATTTTTAGCACAAAACTAGCTAGGGCATATAGTCCAGCCTATGAATTAAAAACCCATTAAACACAAGAATACTTGAAATCATGAATAAAGACGCATCTGTCAGGGTGTATGCACAGACACTAATTATTCAATAAATCATGAATCAACTAATATTCTGTCAAGGCGTATGCACAAAATACTAATCATTCCTTCAATAATCTCAACACAAACAACCTACAAATTCATTCTAAGTATCATCACACAATAATGAAAATTAAAGGCACAATAAATACATGAATGAATCCAAATTTCCATTGAATTGATAACAATAAATATATGTTTAAATATAGAGCCTTCCAATTAGGCTACATTGGATCCCTAAATAAGAGTTTAGTTACACATGATTATAAGGAAATCAAACTTCAAAATCTTTAAAACCATGAAGTACAAGAAGAAGAAGAAGAAAAGATGATGAAACCTTAGGTAAGATCTCCTCTCCTTGCCTCTTCCTAATTATATTTGATATTATAAACCCTTGCCCCCTAAAATATTGCTAAGGACATCTATTTATAATATTAAAGTTGTGAGGGTATTATGGTAAAAAGTTATACATCAATTAAAAACGCATAATAACAAATCTGCATATCTCCACGCACTAATGTAACTTTCGTCTCCATGTTTAACCATCTTCCAGGTTGAACTGGGCCACGATAAAAAATAAAAGTCGTAGCTCTGTCTCTTAGCTTTAAAACGCCACTAGAATGAGGTCAATCGGAGTTGTGTAACTCAAGTTATGATCATTTTTGTGCAGCATGTTCTGGCATAAAAAATTCCAAACATAAATTTCCCGCATTGCACTACCGCATGATTTTGTGGTGCCATGGCATGAAGTTTCTGTTCATTTTGCAATTTTATGCTATGGCGTGGGAATAGTTTTGTTGCGGTGAACAATCTTAAAAAATCTATAACTTTTTCGTTTGAGTTTCGATTCTTGAACCGTTTGTTCTTGTACGCTTATGATTCTTTCATCTTCAACGTCCATGCTTGAAATCCTCATTTTTCAGCACCTAAACACTTGAAATTCATAAAACATATCCGTGATTCTAGAAAACAAAAGAGATACAAAAATTAAGTAAAATTAACCAATTAAACCTAATTTTCTCACAAAATACCTTTAAAATCACTAAGTATAAGTACACTTCCAATCACTCATCAAGACTGAGAATGAGTTATCGTCATTATTCTTTGTAATTACTATAGAGTTCTGATACTCAATAAAATTCTCTATTTGAATGTGAGACATGGTTCCTTAATTCGAACTAACTAAGGTAAATCGTGTATTCTCTTTACTTTTATGTTTTTAACATGGGTCAGTTTATGCGTATCTCAACTAATTCTTAGGGTCTATTAAATACCCTATAAACCCTATGAGCCAAGTAAATCACAAGTGTAATAGGTGATCAGCCACCTACCACACTTAGGTCGAATCTCCTCCCCCTAATTTTTACATATTCACTTGATTGAATCTCCTCCCTTTTACTGCCCATATACGATTAAAGAAAGTTGAGGAAATGATGTGATTTCTGGCGATTGAATTGAATAAACATTTGTAGCAAAAGAGCATGGCCCACGATCAAACAGCAGATGGGTGATGAATTTTTGAGTTCACATTCAATTGACATAAAATTGAAGAAGTAGTTCACTATCTCCCTCTTTATGCTAATAAAAGCTGTGGACCAAACCAACTCCAACTGCCCATTATGCCAAATATTGATTCTATTTATCATTCAATCGAGTACTATTCGAAAGTACTCCCCTCCCCTTTATTGCATCTTTTGGTATCATTCTCTCTTGCTCTTTGCTCCTTTTAGGCTTTTACATTCCCCTTTTTCTCTGTTGCCATGCATAAAACGGATTGAGAGAATATTTCCAGATCTCCATTGCTTATACAGCAAAAGATTTTTGCTCAATGTTCACGTTTCTGCTTCTTAACTGGCCTAATTCCACAAGACATTGCACATTGTTTTACATGTAAAATAATCTTCTTGCGCTATTAATTTACGCATGATTCAAAGAAAATTATATGATATTAGATTAATACGATATATTAGGAGGAGAAAATTAAATAATTTAATATTAATTCTAGGAAAATAAATCTTTTTCCTACAACATATTTTCTTGTTATGAAAATCGGACCGACGCCCTCTCCGGTCTAGGTTACCATTTTTAACTGATCACTAAATCCCTAACCTGACCGTTGGCAAACAAGGGGCTACCAAGTGCTAGGGTTAAAGGGCTTTTGTAGAGCGGAGGCCGATGGTTCAAGGGCTGGTGTCGGATTGAATTTTGGGCGTTAGAATTTGGTCGAAAAAATCAACCCAATATGTGAGTCACAACCTACAAACAGAGGGCTACCAAATGTAGGGGTTAGATGGGTTTTGTAGAGTGGAGGCCGATAGTTCAAGTGGTGGTGTCGATTGAATTTTGGATGTTGGAATCAGTCAAATTTTGGTCCAAAAAAGCAACCCAATTGCGATGGGGTTCGTGAGTCACAACCGACGAATGGGGGGCAACTAAATTCTGGATTTAGAGAGATTTTGTAGAGTAGATGACGATGGTTTAGGTGGTGGTGTCAGGTTCAATTTTGGCCATCGAAATTTGTCGGAATTTAGTCGAAAAAATCAATTTAGAGTGAGTCATAAGGGTGTATTTACTAGATTTCAAACATGTAGGGACTACTAAATTTTTTTGAGGTGTGTCTGCAAGATTTTAAACTTATTGGGTTATCAGGAAACTGCCAGTATTTTCCATTAAAATAACTTTTGTTTTATATAGTTTTGAACGTTAAATACAAATTAAATGAAGCGAAAAAATATATCATTTTCTAAGAGTGAGCAGATCCGAATACCTGCCCTGATCTCATGGAACAGGAATCGAAATGGGAACTAGAACCCATGATTCCTGAGATTTGGAATCGGAATGGTTCCGATTCTTGAATGCCTAGAACTGAAACCTGTGCATACAGGTTCTTATCATAGGCAGGGTACCCGATCCTATTCACAACAAAAAAATATATATATATATATAAATTTATATTTTTATTAAATTTTCTCTCTCCTCTCTCATTTTTCATTCTTTTCAAAACCCTCTTTTCTTCTGTAAATTATTCTTTTCTTTCTCTTTGTTCCACCACTTCACTTGGCTGCCGCAAGGCCCACTAGCTTCCTCCTGTCTTTTCTCTTTCATTTTTCGCTCTTTTCAAAACTTTCTCTCTCTTTTCTTTAGTAAATTCTTCTCTTCTTTCTCTTTGTTCAACCACTTCACTTCGCCGCCGCAAGGCCCACCAGCTCCCCCTTAACCTCCTCTTCAAACGCCACCTACCCCCCCCCGCCACCACCCACCGAATCGACGACCACCGCCAATCCGCGCGCTTCAAGCCATTTTTGCGATTGCTCTCAAAGTGATAGAATCGAAACCAGAACCAATACAGTATCGGTTCCACCAAATTTGGAACCGGAATGGACCCTAATAGGCCGATCTCGGTTCCTGCCCAGAACGGACGGGTGGGTACCTGCCGGTTTCGAGTAGAAACATTACCCATGCTCACCCCACATTTTCTACAACATATTTTCCATTAATAACAACTTTTGTCTCCATTACATGAGATACCTAAAAGATTTAATACAATTAACAACCAGATGAAGACAGCAAGACAGCTCCAATTCTTGGAAATAAAAATAAAAATATTGCTGCAACACAAAATGAACAGTCTAATTATACATCATCATGATGATGGTGATGATCACATGATGGCACAGGCTTGAGTGTTCTCATCACTGAAAGCTGTGGTGTACCTAACTTCAGTGGAACTGGCACGTGCCAGTTGGGACATTTGTGGGTCATCCACTCTTCGCACGTACCCAGTCGGGGCCTTCCTGTCATACACCCCTTGGGCATATGGGTGAGCCACCATATCATATGGTACGTAGGGCCAGAGCTCTGCTTTCTTCCCCGTTCGATGTGCGACACGTGACACTACCTTAGATGGATCCACGTATCCAACGACCGTAACTTTGTTGGCTTTGCGCTCCACGTCTACTTGTTTCACCCCTTTCATTCCTTCCAGTGCCCGTTTCACCTTGCGCTCGCATCCCTCGCAGTCTATACGTACTTTGACCTCAACCGTCTGATCACAGAAATCAATCAAATCAGAAAAATGTATTTTACATAGCAATGTGCTATTGCATTGTGAATAGTAAGTATCCAGACAGGTTTTGGAATCTACAGATTGGCGTGTATTTTTGTCATTTTACGACACTGTAGAAATTACCAAAATGCCCTAAGCAGAAGTTTAACCAGTTTGCAGTACAGTGACAGAAACGAAATTCAGAAGCGCTTCTGGTTTCTTTTGTGCTTTTTACAGTTCAGTGAAAGCCAAAAATGGCAGTTTATGTATGGAAAAAGAGATACAAATCTTGGAAATTCTGATGAAGGAAAATCTGTCTTTTGATTAAAAAAATAAAAGAAAAGTTGGCCAAAAACTGCCTTAGAAAAAAAATTTAATCAAAACAAAACAAGATCTGTGTTTTATTCTAAACGAAAGACCAAATCTTAGTAGATTTCTTCACTTGAACTCAACATAAAAGTATTTATTAAACTACGTCGTTTTGGTAATCTAAATGAGCTTTACCAGTTGTACAACCCTATCTGATCTACTGGAGAATAACCACTTTGAACCAAACAGAAGATTATTTTTTTTAAAGCCATGAAGTAAAGAGTTGAAAAATACCTGCAACTGCTTGCGTCTCTTGAGCTTGGAGCTGCCACGGGAGCAATCAAAGAGATCGGAAAAATGATCCAGAGCACCCATATTTTTTTTTCCTCTCTCTGTGGTGATGATGATACAAGCCAAAAGTTGCTGCTACAAAGAAGGTAAATTATGAGTTTCTTTCTGTAAAGATAAGAATCAGAAGCCAAAATATCTCAGGAATGGTTTTGTTCAAAGAGTAGTAATGATGGTGTTATTGAACCAAGAGGGTCCTGCATTTATATACACAGGCAATAATCTCTTCCTGGTCTTCATGGAAATCTGGTCCGTATATTTTTTAATTGATGCCGCTTCTAACTGACACGTGTCCTAAACAGTTTTGGTCTACAGAGAATCGATAAGGTAACGGAAAAAAACCATGCAATGCGTGTCCACCGTCCTTCGTGGGTCCCTTCTTAATTTGGCGCCAAATGAGAGGTGTGTTGACGCGCCAAGATTGCCAGTGCCCAGCTGGCTGGCCGTTGGAACGATATTTCCGAAGACATTAATATAAAAACAGAAATATAATTGACAAAATTTGACGATTTTTATCGAATCAATTATTATGAAAATTATCATAACTTAAAGTATTAAATACTATGATTTAGAGATATATATTTTAAGAGTAAACAACATTTTCCCACCTAAGGTTTGGCCCAATGATAGTTTACCACCCGAAAAGTTTTGAAATAACACTATCTCACCCACAAGCCAATTCCGTTAGTGAATTTCGTTCTTAACAAAAGGTAAGATTAGATTATCAAAATTTGTTAAAAAAGAAGGGTAAGATGGTTAATTTATGATGCTGAAAAAATAAAAATTCGAATTCTCGGTCAGTATAGCCGCTGATGTTGCCACGTGTCCCACCAAAATTGACTTAATAGAAAAGACAAAAACAAGTCATTTGCCTTACGAGTTTATTGGGTGCGGCGACTGGCGACTGTTTACGGCTACCGGCGATTGGCGACTATCGACCGACGACTGGCGACTGGNTATTATTATAAGAGGTGGACGACACTAGCACACAAGTAATGAGAAAACAAGAGAACGCATTCATTAACATAACCTAAATGCCTAAAAATGGCTAGAAGGATACCAATTTTCAGTATTACATACTCAAGAAAGCGTTTCGATAGGCGATAGCTTAAAAATTACTTCTTTAGGCTTTTCAAAGCAAAAATAAGAGCTATTAACAACAACATTCACAAGTTCATAAACATGTATTCAGATATGAACAAGCTTGAAACCACTAATTAAGCGTAAAAAAAAAATTAATAAAAACTAAAACTTTCACAAAACTCACTTGTAGAAAACACAAAACCTTCTTCAAACAATAAAATTAGGGAGAGAAAAAAAGAAAGTTACGCGGTTGCCGCCAACGGTGGCGAAGACGTTGAAGTAGCGAGAGTCAATGAAGTTGAAAGCAACGGCATATAAGGGTCGCTTGCCTTCTTGAAGCTTGTTGGTGACTCTGTAGTCGCGTTTCTTGGAGGGAACTAGTGAACCCACCAGCGGCTCGGACCCGATCGCCGTCTTCGCCATGCTGCGCACGTTAGCACCCGCCACTGTGTGTTTCTTTGTAATAAAACCCAACTTACACACTAAACCAACTTCTACAATTTAATTCTGGTCTCATATATGTAAATATAATATATATTATAAGGTTTATTTATTTTGGTCTTTGGGTTATTACTTTATGAGTATGAATTCTTTATTATAATTAAGAGTAAACAAATTTTCCCACACAAGGTTTAGCCTACTGACATTTACCACCCGAAAAGTTTTGAATGACATTTTCTCACCCACAAGCCAATTCCGTTAGTAAATTTTGTTATGAAGAAGGATAAGATAGTCAAAATACATTCAAAAGAAGGACAACATGATCAATTTACACGATGCTGAAAAAATCAAAATTTAAAATTCGAATTCTCGGTCAGTATAGCGGCTGAATGGTTGCCACGTATCCTGCCAAAGTTGAATTAATAGAAAAGGAAAAACAGTAATTTGCCTTGTGAGTTTATTGGGTGCGGCGACTGGCGACTGTTTACGGCTACCGGCGACTGGCGGTTGGCGACTATCGACCGACGACTGGCGACTGGCAAACATATCTATATCTTGTATTTGTTCTCCTTGTGGATTGAGGCAAACTAAAACCTCCAACCTATCTTCCCAAATCAGGAAAGTCTCTTTCTTTACCGTTGGCTATGCCTCCCTTTGCTTCTCTTTTCTTCCATTCTCATGGCAAGCTCAGCCAATGAACGTCCTGCTTTTGGAAAGATAGGTTATGGGTAAAATTTCTCATCTTTACTGTGTTTTTGAGTTCTCTTTCTAGTTTAATGATTTTATTTTATTTTAGTTTATTTTTATGTGGTTTAATAGATGCAAGCATTATAGGAGAAGATGTAAGATTCGAGCTCCTTGCTGCAGTGAGATCTTTGATCATCGTCATTGTCACAACGAGGCTGCGGTATTACTGAAATAATTTTTATTATGTCTTTCTGTTTTGTTTAGTTCGAAAGATTTGTCTATTTCGATCTGGGTTTTTGATTCATTTTAGCTTCTTGATCAATATTTGCTCATCTTTACTGGTTTATTTAGCTTGAATATTAAAACAATTCCTTGTCCTGATCTGGGATTAGTTGTTATTTGTGCAATTATCTCTGGTTTGTTGTTTTGCTTGAAGATATTAGTAAATGAACCTTTTTTTTTTTTTTTTTTTTTTTAATGGATATTCATTGTTTGCTTGTTTTCTCATTGTTTGGATCATTAGAGCATGCTGAAAAATCCCTATGATCGACACAGAATTGTTCATCAGATGTTAAACAGGTATGTGTCTTTGCCTATTTATTAATATTTTGATTTCTAAATTTTTGTTGTACTTGAATCCACAATGACAAGAAGCTTGGATGATTTGGTGTTGCAGGTTGTTTGTTCTGTCTGTGATACAGAACAACCGGTACGTATGTGTTCCTTGATTTTGGACATGAGGCTTTCATTTTTGCTGGCATTTCTGAATTGCTTGGAAATATATGGGGGGGCTGTAAGGAGCACATTCCAGCTTGCTTCTACTTCGGAGGCTACGGTTAGCACATATGAGGTTTCTGTGTGGCTTTCACTTTGGAATGACCTATTCTCCCAGGTTTGAAGATTTTGTATAATTGCTTATGATGATTAGTATGACTTTGCTATGTGAATAGTTCTCACACTTCACCAAAATCTTCTCAGGTCTTTCGTGCTGTCAAAAGCATATTAAATGGTTTTGTTGCCTTCTTCATGGCTTGCAACAGGCATTGTCTCAGGTATTGTGTTTTTACTTTGCTTTATGCCATTTTGCTTTGAAGTTGTTTTTGTTGGGTGCAAACACCTACTTGAATATCTTTTTGTTCATCTAGCTGTTATCTTCTGGTATGATGCTTTGAATTTGTTAATTGAAGTCGGATGTCTCGGTATGAGTTTATACTTGGCAACAGATGTGATTTACTTGAATTTACTTGCTAAGATTAATTAAAAGGATTTAGCAAATACAAAGAGCTTGGTCATTGTTTAAGGGATTTAGTGTCAATTTGAAATTGAGTTGAAAGATATGCTTGATGTCCTTTTATTCACCTACTTAATCAGAACTTTAATTTCTCTAGGCTTTCTTATAACCCACTTTTGATATTTATGAATTTGAAATGAAATTAGTTTTTTATTCTTACAAACTTCTCATCCATGTCTTGCTACTTAATATAATGATAGAATAACAACTTTTGTCAATACAGGAATCATTCTGTAGTTTCTTTATCTTCCGCAAGGGATACTGTTTTTTTTTAAGTTTACAGCTCTTTTGATCCAAGCGTAAGCCTGCTCCTAATACTTTTTTCTTATGTAATGGTCTGCAACATTTATAATCATATACAGGATTTCATCCAAAGATTGCTTGGTTGAACCAGAGATCCCAACCCTAAGATCATAAACATAATAGAGTAACACGCGAAGCTCAAAATTTGGTAAGTCATTGTGGATGTGAGTGCATATGCACCTGTGTTGTAGCACATAGAAGATTGATGATTCATTTCTTCCAGATGCACACTGATTCATTTACCTACCATTTCTGGAGCTGATTATGTCATGCTTATGCCTGTTCAGTTAGAAGGAAGGAAACTCAACATGAAGTGAGGTCCCATTCTTTTTTAGGATTTAACAGAGACGAAATTATGTCTCTGGTTCAACAAAGAATTATGTCGTTGCTGATGATTTGGGAGTCTTAAAGGGATATATGATCGGAGCAGATTTTTAGCAGGTTTGTTAGATTTGTTGATAGACCTCCCATTAAGCATGTTTACCAATACAAAGGGCATAAAAGACAATAGGTACAGAAAGGGGTTAAGAGTGTGAGGTGCCTTGCTGTAGGTTTTTAGAGAAGTGGTTACAGCCACGTATGAGAAGGGAATCAAAGTTGTTAGTGGAATAGGTAGTCATGAAGGTAGTATAAATAAATGGTCTGTTTTGGTGAATGACACAGATCAAATATTGTCATTGTGGGAGGCCCTCAGCTCCTCGAATTGCTGGGATCTATTTATTAGTTTATCAATATTTTGGTTGTTCTTTTTCTATTCTCTAAGTAATATAATTATTGAGGCTTGCTTGAGTGAATATATTCTGTTATCTTTGGTTGTTTGTGCTGTTGTTTGTTATCAGTGCAGGGAGTCTTATTAAGTGGTATCAGAGCTTCGTTCGGGTAATGGTTAAATCGAAGATGGAGAACAGAGTTGAAGGTTTGGAAAAAGGGATGGGGAACGTTGAGAAAGAAATGGGAACTGTAAGGGAAGAGCTAGGGAGTATTAAGGGGTACTTATCAGAGTTGCGCGAGTGGATGAGACGAAGGGAAGAGAGGGATACCAATCTGAATAACGATAAAGGGTAGGCATCTAACTCTGATCCTACAAACAGTAAGGGAAGTGATAAGAGTAAGGGGGGAGAGAACTCGAAGGTAACAAAATTAGAACTACCCATATTCAATGGGGAAGATTCGAATGGATGGACATTCAAAGTTAACCGGTATTTTTCGGTGAATCAATATGAGGAAGGAGAAAAAGTGGCAGCAGCTGCAGTGTGTATGGAAGGTCGTGCCCTGAACTGGTATTAGTGGGTAGAGTCTAGAGCACCCATTGGTTCGTGGATAGAATTTAAGACAGTAGTGGTGGAGAGATTCAGACCATCATTTAAAGGATCAGCTTACGAAGCCTTGGTAGCTTTGAAGCAGACTGGTACAATGACAGAGTACAGGGAAAATTTTGAAGCTCACGCAGCTCTTTTGCGTGAGGTAGGGGAAGATATACTTTTGGGGGTATTTACAAATGGGTTAAAAGAAGAAATCAGGGCCGAAATTCGTTTGACCCAACCCATGTCCCTGTTTGCATTGATGGACCAGGCCCATCGCATGGAGGAAAGAAATTGGGTCTTAGACACAAACAGACCCAGGTTTATTAAAGCCCAAGGACACAAGTTGGACTCTTACAATAGGGTCACCCCAAGCCCAAAGCCAAGCCCAGAACTCATTCGCCCAAATTGGACTAACCCAACACGAAACCCAGATCCAGGACACCCATTTTCCCCAAATCGATTTCACGACAAAAATCGATTTCACTACGGAAATCGATTCACAGACGTGACAACACAGAACTTTAGCGGGGAGACTTTCCAGCGAATGTTCGACGCTGAACTGCAGCAAAAACGAGAAAAGGGCCTTTGTTTTCGCTGTGATGAGAAATACGGACCGAACCATCGCTGTAGAAGCAAATCAATCCAGATCTTGCTGGTCACCGACGACGAAGTGATCGAAAATGATGAAAGCTCGCCTGAACCTACCTCAGAAACGACGAAGAAGGTAATCCTTTGGCCCTATCCATGCACTCGATCGTTGGGGTAACCACCGATGAAACCTTAAAGTTGAAATGGGTGATTAAAAGTACAGAGTTGATTGTGCTGGTGGATAGTGGGGCTTCCCACAATTTCATCTCGCATGACTTGGTGCGAAAATTAGGTTTAGCAGTGGAAAAAGGAAAATCGTTTGGAGTGATGGTGGGAAATGGGTTTACTGTCAGAGGGGAGGGAATCTGTAGGGGAGTAAAATTGAGGATGCAGGGGATTGAAGTGTGCCAGGACTATTTTCCATTTGAGTTAGGGGGGCAGATGTCGTATAAGGGGTTTCCTGGCTCAGTACGTTGGGTGATGTGTGTGCAAACTGGAGGAATCTAACAATGGCCTTTATTAGGGAAGGAAATAGGGTGGTTTTACAAGGGGATCCATCATTAGTCAACAAGGTTGTGTCCTTAAAAGCCATGATGAAATCCCTACAACAGGAGGATGCGAGATATGTAATCGAGTTTTGTTCCATTGGGGTTAAGGAAGAAGAAGCAGAGGAACCTATGGATCCGGCAGTAGCAGCAGTTGTAAATAAGTTTAGCCATCTGTTTGAACAGGCTACCCCACTCCCACCCAAGAGACCCACTGATCATGCCATAGTCTTGGCAGCCAATGCCAAACCTCCTAACATTCGCCCATACAAGTACTCAATACTCTTAAAAAAATGAAATAGAAAAGTTGGTGGGTGAGATGCTGGTGGCCGGAATAATACAACCAAGCACTAGTCCCTTTGCGAGTCTTGCATTGTTGGTTAAGAAAAAAGACGTAAGCTGGCGTTTTTGTGTACACTACAGGGCCCTAAATAACATTACTATACCCGACAAGTTTCCAATTCCCTCCATTGACAAACTGTTAGATGAACTGTCAAGGGCAGCCATTTTCACGAAATTGGACCTCAAATTCGGCTACCACCATATTAGGATGAAAGAGGAGGATGTTTCCAAAACAACTTTTATGACACACGAAGGGCATTATGAATTTCTAGTCATGCCCTTCGGATTAACCAATGCCCCGTCCACCTTCCAAGCTTTGATGAATACCATATTTAAACCAGTCTTGCGGAAATTCATACTTGTGTCTTTTGACGACATCCTTATTTACAGTCCTGATTTAAAGACTCACCTGAGCCATATGAGACATGCTTTTCAAATCCTCCCCTAGCATGAATTGGTAATCAATTACAAGAAGTGTATGTTTGGCCATCAGAGATTGGAATATTTGGGTCATTTAATTTCAGCAAAAGGGGTAGAAGCTGATCCACAGAAGATTGATTCAATGCTGAATTGGCCCGTCCCATGCACAATCAAAGGATTAAGGGGATTTTTGGGTTTGACTGGGTACTATCGTCGTTTTGTGTAGAATTATGGTTTGATCGCGCAGCCATTAACATAGTTGTTGTGAAAGGACTCATTTGCATGGGATGACCAAGCACAACAGGCCTTTGAAACTCTTAAAAGGGCAATGACTTCAGTTCCAGTGCTGGCAGTTTCGGATTTCACTCTTCCATTTGAGGTACACATAGACGCATCAGGTCAAGGAATTGGAGCTGTCTTGGTCCAGAATCAACGACCGATTGCATTCATTAGCCAAGCCTTCTCCAACCACGCCCAACAGAAATCAGCATACGAGAGAGAGCTGATGGCCATTGTGTTCGCCGTCCACAAGTGGAGTCATTACCTAAGTGGACGCAAATTTATCATTAAATCTGATTAGCGTAGTCTACAGTTTCTGACGGATCAGCGTGTTAAAACACCCGAACAACAGAAATGGATTTCCAAGCTCTTAGGGTTCTCCTTCGAAATCCACTACCAATCGGGAAACTCAAACCAAGTGGCTGATGCTTTGTCGAGACGCGGAGAGGGTACTGAATTAGCAGCCATTTCGGTAGTATAATTTTCCGAATGGGATGAGTTAGCGACGGAAGCCCAACAAGACCCAAAGCTACAAGCAATCATCCAAGACCTTCTTTTTTACTCTACCAGTCATCCTTTGTATGGTTTTCGCCGTGGCTGTCTCATCTACAAAAACAGGTTGGTTTTGCCCAGAAATTCTAAGTTCATTCCTAAACTTTTAGAGGAGTTTCACAGCAGCTCGGGAGGGGGCCATTCAGGCTTTTTTAGAACATATAAGAAGCTGATGAATATAGTATTTTGGGACGGTATTAAGAGGGATGTGCAGGAGTATGCCCAACGGTGTTCCATCTGCCAATCACATAAATATTCTGCTCTCAAACCAGCAGGTCTTCTTCAGCCCTTACCCATTCCATCCCAGGTTTTTGAAGATACTAGCATGGATTTCATTGGAGGATTACCAAAAGCAAGAGGACAGGATACCATAGGGTTGTAATGGACCGACTCACTAAATATGGTCACTTTATTCCGCTGTGTCACCTCTACAGTGTTAAGGATGTTGCAGCCATTTTTGTCTCTGGTATTGTACGGCTCCACGGTTTTCCCAAGTCTATAGTTTCGGAATCGCGATAGGATTTTTACCAGCAACTTCTGGCAGGAACTTTTCAAGGCCGCTGGCATTTCACTGAAGTTCACTTCGGCATATCACCCCCAAATCGATGGCCAAACGGAGGTGGTCAACCGATGTTTAGAAACTTGTGCTGTTTTTGTAGTTCGCAGCCAAAACAGTGGGATAAGTGGCTGTCCTGGGCAGAATATTTGTACAACACCACACATCACAGCTCTATTAAAATGACCCCTTTCAAAGCCCTCTACGGCAGGGATCCACCCTCTCTCCTCAAGTTTTCAGATTACCCCTCCTCGGTGGAAGAATTCAATCAGCAAATGGCTATCCGAAATTCCATATTGGCTGAACTAAAGCATAACTTGTTTGTAGCTCAAGCACAAATGAAGGAAACTACTGACCTCCGTCGTTGGGATATTAGTTTTCAACCAGGGGACCAAGTATATTTGAAGCTCCAGCTGTACCGTTTCAAGTCCTTGGCCAAAAAACTGAATGAAAAGCTTAGCCCACGGTTTTATGGTCCTTTCCCCTATATTAGAGAAGATTGGGCAGGTGGCTTACAGGTTGGAGCTGCCTCCTACAGTAAGAATTCATCTCGTCTTTCACATTTCTCAACTAAAACGAAGTTTGCACCCTTCGGTACCCATCCAACCCCTACCATCCTGCCTCATCGAGGATATGGAACTCCTTGTTGAACCAGAATCATTGTTGGCTGTTTGCACTTTATTAAATGGCTCTCGAGAAGTACTTGTCAAATGGAAAGACTTAGCTCCTTATGAAGAATCATAGGAGGCTTACGATGTGATCTACCAGCAATTCCCTCATTTCCACCTTGAGGACAAGGTGGCTCTCCATGGGGGGGAGGGATTGATAGACCTCCCATTAAGCATGTTTACTAATACAAAGAGCATAAAAGACAATAGGGACAGAAAGGGGTTAACAGTGAGAGGTGCCTTGTTGTAGGTTGTTAGAGAAGTGGTTACAACCACGTATGAGAAGGGAATCAAAGTTGTTAGTGGAATAGGTAGTCATGAAGGTAGTATAAATAAAGAGTGTTTTGGTGAATGACACAGATCAAATATTGTCGTTGTGGGAGGCCCCCAGCTCCTCAAATTGCTGGGATCTATCTGTTAGTTTATCAATATTTTGGTTGTTCTTTTTCTATTCTCTAAGTAATATAATTGTTGAGGCTTGCTTGAGTGAATATATTCTGAAGACCTCCCATTAAGATGTTTACCATACAAGGGCATAAAAGACAATAGGTACAGAAAGGGGTAAGAGTGTGAGGTGCCTTGCTGTAGGTTTTTAGAGAAGTGGTTACAGCCACGTATGAGAAGGGAATCAAAGTTGTTAGTGGAATAGGTAGTCATGAAGGTAGTATAATAAATGGTCTGTTTTGGTGAATGACACAGATCAAATATTGTCATTGTGGGAGGCCCTCAGCTCCTCGAATTGCTGGGATCTATTTATAGTTTATCAATATTTTGGTTTTCTTTTTCTATTCTCTAAGTAATATAATTATTGAGGCTTGCTTGAGTGAATATATTCTGTTATCTTTGTGTTTGTGCTGTTGTTTGTTATCAGTGCAGGGAGTCTTATTAAGTGGTATCAGAGCTTCGTTCGGGTAATGGTTAAATCGAAGATGGAGAACAGAGTTGAAGGTTTGGAAAAGGGATGGGGAACGTTGAGAAAGAAATGGGAACTGTAAGGGAAGAGCTAGGGAGTATTAAGGGGTACTTATCAGAGTTGCGCGAGTGGATGAGACGAAGGGAAGAGAGGGATACCAATCTGAATAACGATAAAGGGTAGGCATCTAACTCTGATCCTACAAACAGTAAGGGAAGTGATAAGAGTAAGGGGGGAGAGAACTCGAGGTAACAAAATTAGAACTACCCTATTCAATGGGAAGATTCGAATGGATGGACATTCAAAGTTAACCGGTATTTTTCGGTGAATCAATATGAGGAAGGAGAAAAGTGGCAGCAGCTGCAGTGTGTATGGAAGGTCGTGCCCTGAACTGGTATTAGTGGGTAGAGTCTAGAGCACCCATTGGTTCGTGGATAGAATTTAAGACAGTAGTGGTGGAGAGATTCAGACCATCATTTAAAGGATCAGCTTACGAAGCCTTGGTAGCTTTGAAGCAGACTGGTACAATGACAGAGTACAGGGAAAATTTTGAAGCTCACGCAGCTCTTTTGCGTGAGGTAGGGGAAGATATACTTTTGGGGGTATTTACAAATGGGTTAAAAGAAGAAATCAGGGCGAAATTCGTTTGACCCAACCCATGTCCTGTTTGCATTGATGGACCAGGCCCATCGCATGGAGGAAAGAAATTGGGTCTTAGACACAAACAGACCCGGTTTATTAAAGCCCAAGGACACAAGTTGGACTCTTACAATAGGGTCACCCCAGCCAAAGCCAAGCCAGAACTCATTCGCCCAAATTGGACTAACCAACACGAAACCCAGATCCAGGACACCCATTTTCCCAATCGATTTCACGACAAAAATCGATTTCACTACGGAAATCGATTCACAGACGTGACAACACAGAACTTTAGCGGGGAGACTTTCCAGCGAATGTTCGACGCTGAACTGCAGCAAAAACGAGAAAAGGGCCTTTGTTTTCGCTGTGATGAGAAATAGGACCGAACCATCGCTGTAGAAGCAAATCAATCCAGATCTTGCTGGTCACCGACGACGAAGTGATCGAAATGATGAAAGCTCGCCTGAACCTACCTCAGAAACGACGAAGAAGGTAATCCTTTGGCCCTATCCATGCACTCGATCGTTGGGGTAACCACCGATGAAACCTTAAAGTTGAAAGGGTGATTAAAAGTACAGAGTTGATTGTGCTGTGGATAGTGGGGCTTCCCAATTTCATCTCGCATGACTTGTGGCGAAATTAGGTTTAGCAGTGGAAAAAGGAAAATCGTTTGAGTGATGGTGGGAAATGGGTTTACTGTCAGAGGGGAGGGACTTGTGGGGGCGGGGTTGGGGGTGGGGGGGTATCTCATCTGTTTTGGTGGTGGTGGTTTTTTTTTTGGAAGGAATGGGTGCGTGTTTGTGTGTTTTTTGTTTTTCTCTCTGTCTTTTCTTTTTTTTTTTTTGGGGGGGGGGGGGGGTGGGGGTCTTTGGGGGAGGGAATCTGTAGGGAGTAAAATTGAGGATGCAGGGGATTGAAGTGTGCCAGGACTATTTTCCATTTGAGTTAGGGGGCAGATGTCGTATAAGGGGTTTCCTGGCTCAGTACGTTGGGTGATGTGGTGTGCAAACTGGAGGAATCTAACAATGGCCTTATTAGGGAGGAAATAGGGTGGTTTACAAGGGGATCCATCATTAGTCAACAGGTTGTGCCTTAAAAGCCATGATGAAATCCTACAACAGGAGGATGCGAGATATGTAATGAGTTTGTTCCATTGGGGGTAAGGAGAAGAAGCAGAGGAACCTATGGATCCGGCAGTAGCAGCAGTTGAAATAAGTTTAGCCATCTGTTTGAACAGGCTACCCACTCCCACCAAGAGACCCACTGATCATGCCATAGTCTTGGCAGCCAATGCCAAAAAATCCTAACATTCGCCAACAAGTCTCAATACTCTTAAAAAAATGAAATAGAAAGTTGGTGGGTGGGGATGCTGGTGGCCGGAATAATACAACCAAGCACTAGTCCCTTTGCGAGGCTTGCATGGGGTTAAGAAAAAAGACGTAAGCTGGCGTTTTTGTGTACACTACAGGGCCCTAAATAACAACTATACCCGACAAGTTTCCAATTCCCTCATTGACAAACTGTAGGATGAACTGTCAAGGGCAGCCATTTTCACGAAATGGACTCAAATTCGGCTACCACCATATTAGGATGAAAGAGGAGGATGTTTCCAAAACAACTTTTATGACCCACGAGGGCATTAGAATTCTAGTCAGCCCTTCGGATTAACCAATGCCCCGTCCACCTTCCAAGCTTGATGAATACCATATTTAAACCAGTCTTGCGGAAATTCATACTTGTGTCTTTTGACGACATCCTTATTTACAGTCCTGATTAAAGACTCACCTGAGCCATATGAGACAGCTTTTCAAATCCTCCCTAGATGAATGGTAATCAATTACAAGAAGTATGTGTTCCTTGATTTTGGACATGAGGCTTTCATTTTTGCTGGCATATCTGAATTGCTTGGAAATATATGGGGGGCTGTAAGGAGCATATTCCAGCTTGCTTCTACTTCGGAGGCTACGGTTAGCATATACGAAGTTTTCGTGTGGCTTTCACTTTGGAATGACCTATTCTTCCAGGTTTGAAGATTTTGTATAATTGCTTATGATGATTAGTATGACTTTGCTATGTGAATAGTTCTCAAACTTCACCAAAATCTTCTCAGGTCTTTCGTGCTGTCAAAAGCATATTAAATGGTTTTGTTGCCTTCTTCATGGCTTGCAACAGGCATTGTCTCAGGTATTGTGCTTTTACTTTGCTTTATGCCATTCTGCTTTGAAGTTGTTTTTGTTGGGTGCAAACACCTGCTTGAATATCTTTTTGTTCATCTAGCTGTTATCTTCTGGTATGATGCTTTGAATTTGTTAATGAAGTCGGATGTCTCGGTATGAGTTTATACTTGGCAACAGATGTCATTTACTTGAATTTACTTGCTAAGATTAATTAAAAGGATTTAACAAATACAAAGAGCTTGGTCATTGTTTAAGGGATTTAGTGTCAATTTGAAATTGGGTTGAAAGATATGCTTGATGTCCTTTTATTCACCTACTTAATCAGAACTTTAATCTCTCAAGGCTTTCTTATAACCCATTTTTGATATTTATGACTTTGAAATGAAATTAGTTTTTTATTCTTACAAACTTCTCATCTATGTCTTGCTACTTAATATAATGATAGAATAACAACTTTTGTCAATGCAGGAATCATTCTGTAGTTTCTTTTTCTCCCGCAAGGGATACTGTTCTTTTTAAGTTTACAGTTCTTTTGATCCAAGCTTAAGCCTGCTACTGATACTTTTTTCTTATGTAATGGCCTGCAACATTTATAATCATATACAGGATTTCATCCAAAGACTGCTTGGTTGAACGAGAGATCCCAACCCTTAGATCATAAACATAATAGAGTAACACGCGAAGCTCAAAATTTGGTAAGTCATTGTGGATGTGAGTGCATATGCACCTGTGTTATAGCACATAGAAGATCTGATGAGTCATTTCTTCCAGATGCACACTGATTCATTTACCTACCATTTCTGGAGCTGATTGTGTCATGCTTATTATGCCTTTTCAGTCAGAAGGAAGGAAACTCAACATGAAGTGAGGTCCCATTCTTTTTTAGGATTTAACAGAGATGAAATTATGTCTCTAGTTCAACAAAGAATTATGTCGTTGCTGATGATTTGGGAGTCTTAAAGGGATATTTGATCGGAGCAGATTTTTAGCAGGTTTGTCAGATTTGTGAAGAAGGTTTTGAAGATCCAGAAAGCAAATGAAAAGGAAGCTTCAAGGAGCTAGAAAGTGGGATTGGGAAAGCAAATCTTTTTCCATTTTAAGAAATGAATGACAAATTGTCTTATAAGAGCATCACCTGAAATGCTTCTGCATTCTTTGTATCAAATTCCCTATTTTTATTGGATTTGATTTGACAAAATGATTAGGTTATGCACTATAATTTTGCAACATGAATACTTAGTTTTATTGCGTCTAAATTGACAAAATTTCTTATATATAAATGCTAGTTTAAGTTGTAGCAAACATAGGGACAAAATGGTAATTTTATTAATCTGAAAGCATTATTTAAATAAAAAACTGGAGGGACAAATTAGTAATTTAATCCCCATATTTTGTTGAAGGTATATTAATAATTTTATATTTAAAGGATGGGTATATAGGTAAATAACTGTTGACATGACATTAAATAATAAAAAAATTATTAAGTCAAATAGTAAACGGTGTTTTTGTCTTTACAGAGAATATGACTGTAGTTAACGGAATTTACTAACGGAACATAACTGTGGGTGCGAAAATGTTGTTTTGAAACTTTTTGGATAGGAAAGTGTTATTTCACTAAACCTTGGGTGGGATATTTTTTACTGTAATTAAAATAAGTTGTTAATCGGAGAAATTCTTTAATAGAAATGTATTTAAGAGAATATATTTAATTGGTAGATATTTTTTCATTATTTTGTTTCTTTCCATCCAAAACTATCAA